GCTGTAAACTTTCAAGAAGAGTTTGGCTGTCTTCTCTGTCTCCTCCCATTAGGTACTTGCAGACAGCTGTAGGATCTCCCCGGAGCCTTCTCTTCAAGCTGAGCTATTTTCTCAGCTTTCCCTTGTGCATCACGTGCTTCAGCCCCCTTGTTTTAGTGGCTCTCAGGATGTCAGTGTCTGTGCTGGGGAGCCCCAAACCAGGCACCGTGTCCAGATGTAATCTCACACACTGCCTCGCAGCGGGGGAGAACCGCTTCCCTTGGCCCTCTGGCCACTCCTTTGCCAGTGCAGCCCAGCGTGCCGTCAGCCCTTTTCATTGCAAGCTCAACGCTGCTGGCTCGTATCCCACCCCTCCGTCAAGTCCCTCCCTGCCAAGCAGCTTTGCAGGCAGGACCCGGCTTCTCCGGCGGCACGGGGTTACCCCGTGCCAGGTACGGCACTCTGCCCAGCTCCCGGGGGGTTCCTGCCAACCTGCCTGCCGAGGTCCCTGCGAGCAGCAGCCTTGCCCTCAGCGGTCAGGACTGCTTCCCCGGCTCGGTGCCATCAGCCAGCTTCCCGAGGCTCCCTCCTGGCCCTGGGTCAGGAACACGGGGTTACACCACCATCCGTTCCGCTACCGAATGCTGAGGGATGCCGCCGGCAGCCAACCATGCTTCGTCTGCCGATCGCAGCCCTTCGCGCCCGGCAGCTCAGCCTGTTTTCCACCCAACACGACAGTTTGCCTGTCCCAGGAAGGCAAAAGCCTTCCTAAGGCCAAGGTGCAGGCTGCATGTTGCCCTCCCTGAGTCTGCAGAGCCATTCCATCCCAGGAGGTGAGGAGGTTGGCCCGGTCTGCCTTTGCCAAATCTGTGCTGGCTGTTCCCGACCAGCTGGCCCTCGGTGTATGTGGACACAGCAAATCCAGGAGGGCTTACTCCATAATGGTTTTGGAGTCTGAGATCCCCTGATGCTTTTTCTTGTCCTTTGTGAAGACAGCTACATTTTTCCAGTCATGAGGAACCTCTCCTGGCACCAAGCAAGAGAGCAGCTTTGCAGTCACGCTGGCTCCTGTAGATAAATCCCACACGGTCCCATGGACTTGAAAATGCCCAACCTGCCTCAGTGGTCTCCAGCTCAGTCTTCTGCAGTGCAGGCGATGCTCTGCAGCCCCAGCCCTCGCTGCTCAGCACAGGGAGGCTGAGAACAGACCATGCCAGCAAAGCCCAAGGCGGAGAGGTCACCAAAACCCTTGACCTTTTCCATGTCCCTTGTCGCTATGTCCCTCTATTTTGTTCTCCACTGGGTTCACATTTTCCTTTGCCTCCCTTTCACTGATAATGTAGCTGTAGAAACCCTGCCTGAATCGTTTGGTGATGAGAAATTAACCTGCGCGGTGGTGGTGGATTTTGTTGTTGTTCTAGTTATTGTCTCATCTACATCTGTTTTCCCTGGCATCTAAGTTAAAAAAGCTAATTTTGCTGAGTTGGAGCAGCTGCTGCTTCCTACCACAGTAAATTAAGCTTTCAGAAGACCTCATCTTTGAAATTACAGTTTTTATCATAATGTGGATTTTAATAGTCAATTGAAATGCTTATTAAATTATAACACTGTGCATTAGGAAGGTTCCTGTACTGCTGAAGAAATCTCGATCATTTAGTTTTTATTAGTTTTGTGATTTAATGAACAGAAAACATTAAAACTAAAAGCCAAATGCAAAACAGCTGTATAAAAATGTTTTATAAAATTCAGGAAACTGACAGACATAGCTGTAAAAATACTTTGCAAAGACACAGCCCCTCTTAAATGCCATTAATTTTAATAAAACAATGAATGCCACCATTGGTTTTCTTAATGAAGACAATCTCTCCCTCCTTTCTTTTCCCAGGTTCATGAGATTCAGTCTGTACTTTTGTGAAGCTTATCAACAGATTTGAAAATTTTTCACTCTGGACTGTTTTTGAGTTTGTTTTTTATTTATTTTTTTTTTTTAATACAAATAAGATTAAGATGCAAAGAACAGGATTTTTCGTGTGTCCACACGGTTCTGCTTTTAGAGCGTGTGGCTACACCACAACCAGCCATCGTGCCACAGATGTCACCGCGTGGTCCTCAGTGCTGCAGCCCGCAGTGGTGCCAGCAATGCCCGAGATCAAGCTTTTGTTGTATTAAAGTTTGATTGTGGACTGTGTTAACACGAGGGTACAGATAAAGGGCAGTCACCTCAACCACCCGCTCCTTTGTGCCGAGGTAGATGAGGTATCCTCAGCCTTTCTGGGGCGTAATATAACAGGGTGGTCCAGTGCCATGGGAGTTACTGCACAAGCCAGTATTACTGGCTGTTACCAGTAGTATTATCAAGATTACCAGAGAAGCAACAAGTAAAAAGGAATAATTATATTCAATGCACAGAGAAATTAGTTTTTAGAGGCTCTTGTTGTTTAAAAATGCATCTATATATATATATATATATATATACACACATACACACACACACATATAAGTATGTAAGTGTGCATTATGTATGTATAAAAGCATCTTCATTCTCAAACTCCTAAATCAAGACAGCAAAAGCACTGGCTAATTTTTGTTTATTCTTTTCAGGTATGAAAGACACCTTTGCATAAGATGCTGTCAAACACATACCAGTGGAAGAAATCTCTACATTGCAAACAGGTCCATGTCAGAATTGGCATGTGTAGCATTGTTCTGCTTTACCTTTTCAGTGGGACTCTTACATGAATTTTGAAACAGATGTAGATTTATTCAGGTTCCTGTTTCAGTTTGGATTGTGAAGGCAACTGCAGCAGATATCTCAATTATAAATAGCCCTTTCAGTGCAGTTATAATTAGAACTTTGGTAATAAAACTGTTACTTTAGTTACTTTTTTTTTCTTCTTTCTCTTCCCCCTCACTTGAATTTGATTTGAGGGACTTTCACTAACTTTCTGTTTACCTATGACTAAGTTTTCCTATAGCTCAGGAGCCAAAGGTCTGATTTTGTTGACAACAAAGGGCTGGGTGCTGTCACCACTGCTGCCAGTTGTCCCTTCATAGTGGCTGTTCCCTTGCCTCTGTGACTACACCAAATCGTTTTGAGAGGTTTTCTTCTGGGTTCCTAACCTTGTTCATCCCACTTTTGTGAACGGCCTATGTTTTGCTGTAGCCCCCAAGGAGAGTGACTCCACCGAGCGAACGTGGAACCACTGATCGTGAGAGCCATAAACAGGAATGCACCCCAGTCCAGGCAGCTGCTACAACCAGAGTATGTAAACCTGCTCTGGTACATTTTTACTTAAATCATTTGGAGTTTTGCCACTGAGTTTTAAAGGGAATCAGCTTTTGGGGTACAAGTTAAGTTCAGAAGCACTTCCTATCCGTGCCTTGGCGTTTGTTTATCTGTAGCACTAACATGAATCTTAGTGTATTGACAGCTGAGTGATCCATCAACACGTTATTTTGGATTCCAGCAAAACCTGTTGCAAAATGAAGTTAAGCTTCCTGAAGTAAGCTGTGATGCAGAGTTCTGGCGCACACCCTATCATCATTGGACTGCCTGGAGCAACAGGGGACTTACTCTTGGTGGTGCATGTTTGGGATCAAGGCCTGGCTGGATTGCTCATGAGTGAGGGGCTTATGATCAAACTGGCAGGTGTGAAGATCTATTTTCATACGTGGGGTTGGCAAAATCATGCAAATTCTTAGCATAATTTCCGTCCACTCCTGATGCTGCTATCCAGAACATATTATTACAGTGTATTTGTTACTGGGTTTGCTGCCCTCAGCTGACTACTCCTCTGCTCTCCCGGCTCTCTCATCCAAGTTCCCAACTTCTCCATCTCCTGGGAGAGCAGCCTGCAAAGCTGGACCTGGAGTAGGCAGCTCACTGCCTTCCTCCCACTTTCATCCTCCTCAGAGCTCTTCTGTCCTCTCCTCCCTGCTCTGTCCTGGTCAGAGATGAACCCCCTTTGCCCAGGAAAAGAGGAAAAATGGACAGCAAATTCCAGCAGGAGATACCTCACCTCTCAGCAGCATCTGCTTCATGGCATTGGGCTTGAAGGATGAACTGACTCTCACACCAACAGCTCGAGCTGGTCCGAACCGTGACGTGGGGACCTGCAGTCCGCTTTGCAGCAGTGGTGAGGCTCTGTGGTGCAGTGGCAACAGGGGCATGTGCAAAGATGATGAAAATCATCATCTGGACTGTGCTGCAGGTCTTAGTTATGGGGCTGTTTTCAGTGCCTTAATATTCTTTGCTTCAAATGTGTCAGCTGATGCACTCACAGTGTTAAATAAGGCAGGTGAGAGCCTGGTAAGGGCAGTGTACACTGAATATGCCACTTTTAAGCATATCTCAGTTTCAGAGGAATACCAAGCCTCTTACAGTTTATTTTTTAAACCCTCTGTTTGCAGCTGCTCATTATTTATGCTTCTTTCCCCTCTCCCCACCCCAGGTTTTCCCCTCTGGGCTTTTTTTTTCCTCCCTTCCGATCCCCTCCCAGGTGCTGCGCTGTGACTCTTTTTGCTCCTTCCCCTCTTTTCTTACTCAAAAGCACCAGAACTGTCCCAGAAGGATGGACAGAAAGTCCACCCAGCACAATACCCTGCTTCTGGTGCAGGTCTGATTCAGTCTGAAGACATCAGTGCAAATGAGGTACTTGGGAAACACCCTCTGATACCGATACCACTCTGGGGTGATGGTAGGGCCAATAAAAATCTCTCCAAACTGGTTCATGGAGGGACGAGGCAAGCTCTGACAGTCTCCTCAGAGATAGGAGATAAATATCTGTGTCAGCCTCAGCCGTGGTCTGTGCCTGGGAACGTCAAGCGCTGCTCTCTGCACAGGGCTGATGAAATCCTTGCAGCTCGGTAACTGCTGGCAGAGAAGCAGAAAAATATGAGAAGGGAGGGGGAGGAACGTGCGAAAGCGGGTGCTGAGCTTTTCCCCCACGTAGGTCCCGGCCTCCAGCAGGCCCTCCCATCTGCGCACCCTGCCAGCCCTTTGGCTCCGGGCAGGGTTTCTGTGGTCTTTCTGAGCATGCACGGCCGCCAGCGCATGTGCATCCGAGGCAAAGGCCGCAGACGCCAACAGGGCCCCGGCTGCGTTTGTAGGGTCAGGGCTGGGGACGGAGGGCTCCGGGTGCGATGGAGCAGCTCGGGAAGATGCGGGGGCCGTTGGCTCGGCTGGACGCCATCCTCCGACACCTCTCCCCGCGGCTGGGAGCAGCCCCTGCTCCTGTATCCTTTCTGATGTGGCACCGGGGTTGTGGGGAGCGGGATGTCGGCCCCGTTGGGGTCGGGGCTCTGCTTCCCCCCCCCCCACACCCCCTCTGAGCTTCGCCCATCGCTCCCCGCGCCCTACGCGCTTGTGTGTGGGGGGGTTTGCCCTACCAGGACCCCCTCCCCTGTGTCCTGGTTATGGGGTGGTGACGTGCAGGGGGGCCGTGCCCCGTGCAGCCCCTCGGCCAGTGGGGTCGCGCCAGGGCAGCGCTTCCCCCCCGGCAGCCCCGACTCTGGTGTTTTGGGGTCAGCAGCTGTCCCACCACAAAATCCTCTTGCTGCCTGGTGCTTTCTCCCTGAGCTTCAGCCCTGCAACCCATGGGGGGGGGGGGGGGGACACACACACCTGCATCTGATGAGCCCTCTCTGGGAGCCCCTCTGGCACATCACCCCCAGCATTGAGCAGCGGGGGGTTACCTGCAGCAAATTTTCCTCCTAGAGATTCCTGGGTTTGCGGGAGAGAAACTAACTCTGCAAGGCTTAGCAATTGCACAGCAAGTCTCCGACTTTGTTGAGAGGTACGGACTTGACTGGTAGACCAGCAGCAGGGAAAACATCAAGGTTTGGCTTGTGAGTGGGAAATGAGGTGGAAATGTTGGAGGCTGCCAGCTTTATGATAGATCAGAGAAAGGAAATCAGGGCAGAAAGGAATTTTCACGTTGGTCTGTCCCACGTTTCCAAGAGTTTAATGAAGACTGCTTGCTGATAGTATTTTTAAAGCTGCTGCCATAAATCTTGATTTAAAAAAAAAAAAAAAAAAGTATTAAATGCTGCTGATTCTTGATGAAAGCTGAATGCTGACAAGTTACCTTTGAATTATAATAAATTGGTGAAGAGGATGTGATCAAACAGAATGTAGGAGTCTTCAAATATATTAAAAATATGAAGATAGATGGATAGTAGTTGGCTCAGACTGCCATAAGACAAAAGTGCAAGTAGAAACACAAAATTGGAAATAAATGCTAGGAAAACCACCCTGCTTGTAAAGAGAGAGTAAGGGGTGGCACTGCACAAGCTGTTTTGTTTTTAAATCCAGCTACAGTGGTCCTGATGCAAAGAGCTTTGGACAAAAATATGACTAAGCTGAGCTGAAGCAAGAGAGGCATGTGGGCAAAGTAAATGACAGAAACTAATAAGAATAGATTTATTCAATATGTTAGTGAATTGGTTTTGTTTTGATCGCTGGCTTTGGTGATTTGGGTAGGACAGTCACTTTTCCTCCCAGAAAATGCCTTTCCTTTTACAAAAGGAGAAATATCTTAATAGCAATACCAGTCATCACCAGAGACACAAAACGTGAAAACTGCCCCAAGCCCGCGGGGTCTCTGCACTGCCCTGCTGGGGTGCAGACGTGTGCACCCGCCTCTCTCTGCCTGGTGAGCCCCGCAGCAGGGGTGAGCTGCCTTCTGCCAGCTCACCCAGGCTCCGGCCTTCCCAGCCTGGAAAAGAGAGCATCCTGTTCTTATTTAAAATTAAATCTGTGTAATAGAGAGCTTAATGCCATCTTGTACATACCCAGTTTCCTCCTGCAGTTGCTTTTACGTATGTTAGAGATTGGTGTGTGTTGGTTGTATTGGTACATTGGCAGATGAGTTATTTCTGCATAACAGTGGAAGAACTCTGCCTTCAGCAAGTCCTCTTGTGTGGCCTCGGGAAGGAGAGGATGCAGTGGAAGCTGAAATGCAGAGTTTTCTTTGGAGCTTGGTGTAGGAGCCAGAGGGGAGTGCTGCACTGGTGCCACCAGCACTTACCTCCTTGCAGGAATGCAGCTGAGAAAAAGCCACCTTCACAAGTGTCTGTGGAAGACCTCCATTCCTACAGCTGTGAATTCAGCTCAGGTGCGCTTGGTTTGGGACACTGGGAAAAAAAAAAAAAAAAAAAAAAGAACCAAAACAACAGCATACCAGCTGGAGAAGTAAAGATTTCCTCAAAATGCAGACAAACAGGGAAGATTCAGAAAGCAACTGCACCTCTTGACTGATTTAGGTGTTCAGCTTCTTCAGGTCAAACCTTGATGCTGCAGGCAGGGTGGTGGCTCTCAGGTCAGGACAGGCTCACCACATGTCTGTGAGATGATTTCGAAGAGAACTACGCAAGTTTATGGTGCTTGTTTTAGGTACAGAGGATTTTTGCACCATTCCTTGAGACTCTGCAGGGAGATGCTTTAGAAAAGCTTCTGGGGATCTTGAACCTTGCTGTGCCTGTGCTTTGGTCTCTCCAAAAGTGTTTAGCTGCTTCTGTGATTGGTCCCAGTTATTACATTGCCTGCTCGGCTGGCTAACTTGTCTGTGAATACATTATTCCCAAAAGGAGGTGTGTGAGGGGAAGAGAAATGTTTAAATACTCCATGTCTTCACCCAAATGAGCTGCTGGGGGCAGCAGCTCCTTCCCAGCGTGTGTGCCTCTTGTTTTCAGTTGTCCAGGCAACCCAAACTTGTCCTTTGAGCATTGCAAGGTGGCAAGAGCAGAACCAGAGAGAGGAAGAAACGTTGCAAAGCCTGAGAGGAAGGTATTCAACTGGAGTCCAGTTCTTGGTGACTGGTCTGCTGTCCCCCCGTACTGTTCTGGGAGGTGGAGATGTGCTGAGGAGGGCACCACAGCTGGGGTTCAAACTGTCTGTGTCTCCATCAGCTGTCTGTGGACGTTTAGGAGCCTGAATGTCCAGCACTTCCATTTTCACTGAAATAGGACCTGAAATGTGGTGTATGGAACAGCAGTGCCCTCAGCTGGGGAATCCCTTGCTCCAAGACCTGCTGTGTTGTTTTTCACCTGGTGTCCCCATGTCCTCCTCCTTCCCTGTCTCCTCCATCCAGTTCTCAACACCATTTCCTTACTCTGTCACATCATTTTTGCTACACATTTTTGAATGTGTCATGTTTTTTCTCCCACCACATGTGATTCTTGACCAGATAAGGTTTAAGCTTCCTGGTATAGGGACCATAGATACAACTGTTATGATGAGACCTATTTCTTATTTCAGAAGTCTACATGTTTCTGTGGCATATTTAAAAGAGAGGTGAGCACTAGAGGAAATTCTTTGGTTTACATAAAACCCGGAAGCACAGGAATCTCCAAACATGCATGTGCAGACCCAGAGATCTGCTCTTTTTTTGTCCTTGCCCTTGGGTGACACTTCAATACCATGCACAAGGCTCTTGTGAGGCTTCATTAGCAAGAAGGGTTTGATTGCTTTGTTGATGAGAATGCCTCTCTCTGCATAGGAGAACACAACTGTGTTTATTTAAACCTTTTGAAATTAATTGAGGTGGAGGACAAGCCCATAGCTCTCCTCCCTCTGTGTTCTCCTTATCAAGTTTGGGAGGGACCTAATCTCTGCAGTAACTGGCAAGGTGAGGGTTTGCACCACCCCATGGGAATGTGAAGTCCCAAGTTCCGCCCATGTGAGTTCTGGCTCTGAATTTGGTGTGCTGATGTTAGGAGGGGAGAGGTGGAGAAGCACCTCCAGGAGGCAACAGGTTTTGGGTGGGGCCGGCTGCTCTCTGGAGCGTAGGGAGGGAAATGTGGCAAGTAAACATCTCCACTGAGCATCTTATTGAGTGTCTTGATGTTCTGGGAGATGAATCGAGGCCTGTGGACTACTCTGGTCTCTCTCGTGGACAAGGCTGTACTATGCTGTTATGTTATAATTCTCTGCCAGACGTGCTACTCCAAAGGTGGGAAAGACTTTTTTAGAAGCAAAATAAACAAGAACATGAATTTGATGTCCAGCACAGCACTTACCTTTAAGAAGATCTGCATTGTAGGATTTGGGGCACGTGTATAGACGTTCTTTACTCTATTGTGCTTGAGTGTATATTCCTTAATTTCCATTCCAGACAAGTATTCCTACTTCAGCCCAAGTTAGTGGTGTTCCTCAACCAGCGAGGTTTCGGTAAGCTGTATCTTTCTTTGTAGAGAGAAAAAGAAAATAAGCTGCAGAACTCAATTCTTTTTTCCACCCTGGCACATGTGTTGATCACTAGACATTGTGTAGTCTTTAGTTTTGCAAGGGTATGTTCTTTGTTTAACTGTAGTTTAATAAAAAAGCTTAACCATGCATCTTGAAAATGTCTGAGCGCATGATCTGACTGCAGAGACTGTTCCCATGTGCTTCAGTATCTCTGTTGAGAGTAAAGCTGCTGAGGACCAATACCAGCTTGGGGAGAGCATGCGGGGGATCCTCTGAATTCTGTCACAGTAGTAGTGTGTGGCTGTGGACAGAGTTGCTGCACAGCCACGGACACACCATGCCTGCTCTTCTGGGGCATGAGAAACACTGTACGACTGCAGAGCTGAGGTGGACGTGCAAGTGGGGGGGGGTTTCTCCCCAGTTCTCCCCAGCAGCCACCGGTCCCTCGCATGTCACCGTCCTCCTGCCAGGTCTTGCTGATGCTGCTCCCATTGCTGTGCCTGGCCCTACAAACATGTTTCTCCTCTGTGTCTCAGCTGTACCCTGGACAACAACGTCCTCACCACAGAGCAAAGGCAGTTCTACGAAGACAACGGGTATCTGCTCATTAAGAAGCTCGTTTCTGACGAAGACATTGAGCGCTTCAGGTACGGGGCACTTGCCTAAGGTGCTGGGGGATCCTGTCTGCAGCAGCATCCCGGGGGAGCTCTGGGAATCTCGACTCTCCCAGCACAGATGTTCCCTCTGCTTTGCAGGAAGGAGTTCATGAGAATCTGTAAAAAAGAGGTGAAACTACCGGGAGCTATGATTATGAAAAATGAGTCCCTGAGATCCCAGTATGGACAGTCTGAAAAAGCAGTTAATAAAATCCAGGACTTCCAGGAAGATGAAGAGTTGTTCAGATATTGTACTCTGCCAGAGGTAAAATTAAAAAACAAAACAAAACAAAACAAAAGTCAGGGGGAGGGGACGATGGTGGAAGAGCCTAGGTGAGTGTATCTATATGACTGTCTTTTATGCAGGCAAAGCATCTGCTCTCGGGGCATGTCCAGCTTTGTAGCTAATATTCATTTTGTGAGTGACAGACAGCCGTAGCTTTGTGGAAGTATGACCCTCCCCATCTTTTCAACCCCACCTGCCAGCCTGCTGCACCATCTTCCAGTTTGGCCTCCTGCTGCCATGCCCCGTAGTGTGCCGTGACAGATCCTGCCTCCTGTCCTGCACCCCTCCATCCCAACCCACTCCTCCTCCTAAACCCTAGCCCTCAGCCAAACATCCAGGTCCCAGTGCTTCCTCAGCAATCTTCCCTCCTGTCTTTCATGTTTCTAATATTTTTTTTTCTATTGTTTTCTTCCGCATAGGTCCTCAGATACGTTGAGTGCTTCACAGGGCCAAACATCATGGCAATGCACACCATGCTGATAAATAAACTTCCAGATTCTGGTAAGGAAAGCTTGGATAAGAGGAAAATAGATAAATTGTTGTATGTATGCTGTCTATCGGGCCATAATTGAACTTAGTATTTTAGAAAAGCTGTTTGAAAAAAATTAGACAAATTAAAACCAAATAACTGAAAATTTACGAGGCCACTTTGATAATAGTTTGTTTTCTTTTTACCTTGGCTTAATGAGATAAAATTTCCTGTCTTTCAATGTTTAGTGGATGTTTGTTTGCTAAAGATGGTGGTTGTCTTGGCTCCACCACTCACATGTTCAAAGTGGGCAAGTGAGCTCCCTATTCAGCCAGCTGCACTTGTATAAAGGCCCCGAGTTTAAAATATGACATGCCTTTTAAGCTCAACTTTTCAAATGTGTTGAAAGTAAGTGTTTCTGTGGACCTCGGTGAAAGGCAATAAATACAGAGATCATCCTTCGCTTGGAGTTTACACGCTCCTGACCTCACTGACAGTTGTTTCATGCTCAGTGCTTTGATATGAAGATACTTGAATAGATGCCAAAAGAAGGAATTTGAAGCCTGGCTTTGGGTCCTGCTGCTGGAAATTGAGATCATAATTTATACAGGGTGATGGGCAGGGAGAGAGGAAGAGAACAGGACTAACCATATTACAGTTTTTCAAATTAGCTTCAACTCTGTATAAGATGTTTTGATTTAGCAAATTTGAGACCTGAGCTATGTTTCTTATTCCCAGGTGTGCAGCTTCTGCGCAGATATGGAGTACATTGAGTTATTAAAATACTGAGTTTGTTCAAGTTGTGTCCACTTATCATCTTAAATAGTACACAGAAAGTTACGTCATTTTGGTTTGGAAATTCAACAGGAGACCATACATTTTTAAAGTAAAAACAAAACAATAAAGGTCAAGAAATGGAAAGCTGATCCATATTTGAAAGGTCTCCATTCAATATCTTTGAGGAGTACTTTAGGAGAGGTGCAGATCTCAGGAGAGTTTTTGAGGCTGTCCGAAGTCTAAATAATATGTCAAATGAGGCAAGTGGAAACATATCTGTTTGAGGAGCAAACTCAATGGCAAAATAAGTATATAAATAATATGCAAAAGGCTGTTTTGGTGTGGATGATATGTTTCCATTTCCATAGTGGGAAAAGAAGCAACAATCAAAACTTCAAAAATATTTATTTTTGTTTAGACTTCATGGAAAAAAGCCTCTAGGGTGAAGGCTTTTTGTGAAGTGCTGGGTAGGTTGTCTGGGGAGGCTGCAGTCCATAAACTGAGATAGATTTTTTTTTTTTTAAGAAAAAAGAAGGCTAAATAAACATGTGTTGGGTGCAGCACAGACAGGGTTGATTCTGCTTGCAACATAGCGATAGGTCAAGTGACTACAGATAGCACAGCCGTTTGAAAGTCTTTGTGTTGGGAAAGGTTTGTGCAACACCATGCTGGTTAAAGCTCACAAAACTGGAAAGCAGTCAGAGTGAATGGTGAAAACTTGGCAGGGGGTGGTTGGTGGTGAAGGCCAGCAAAAGGAGTTCTCTGAGGGATTGCACATCCAGGCAGCCTCCTGGCATTTATCACGTCCCCCATGCCATTGCTGTCCCAAGAGCCACTGCTGCACTCTTGGTCCATCTTGGGGTGGGGTGTAAGCTCACCCACTTGGCTTCCAAGGCCGTGGTGGGCTGGAGCAGACACTGAGTACACCAAGTCTCTCCGGTGGCAAGCAGCAGCTCCTTAGGACGTGTTTCAACAAGTGCGATGGTTTAACGGGAAGGAAAAGGCTGTGTCACGTTTGACGAGGTTGAAGGTTTTGAACCTGTGTTGCAGATAAGCAGACTTTTCTCCACCCCATGCATCAGGACTTGCACTATTTCCCCTTCCGGCCTGCGGACCGCATCGTGTGCTCCTGGACCGCCATGGAGAGGGCCGACCAGGACAACGGCTGCCTGGTCGTGCAGCCAGGGACACACAAGGAGCCCCTGAAGCCTCACGGCTACCCAAAGTGGGAGGTAGAGTGGCACCGGGGGTGGGTTGGGAAGGCTGTGCATGAAGGGACCACATTTTGGCTGGGGAGAGCTCACCGTGGAGCGATGATGCACAGGCCAAAGCTGAGGTTTTCAGTGGTGGTTCATCTGTTTAGGCAAGCAGACTTGTTGCTTCAGGAGAGAGTTGCTTGGTTGGCCTCACTCCACTGGGTAGATTTGCCTCTGTTCCCACCTTCACCTAGAAATTGCCCAGCACAATGTGGCATAATGGCATAAACATATGCAACCATTTTTCACTGCCCCTGCCGAGTGTGAGGACTCTTTCTCCTGTGAATTTCTTCCTGTCTGGTGGGCGTGTGTACTGTCCTGAAGAGGAAGAATTGGATAGTAAACAACTGGATGCAATTAAATACCAAGCGGTATCTTCCTCTTAAGAAGGGATGTTTCCCGATCTGGCCTGGTGTTGGTGATGGTTTTACTGGGAGCTGGACCTCAGCAGTGGCATCATGCCACACTTGAGGGATTGCACGGTGCTCTTCTCTGTTCTCTCCAGTTGAGAAATGTTAATTGTCCAGTTTCAGAAAACAGAAAAAGTATTATTTTGCTGTACCTCAGGCTTGAAGTAGGAAGACTTGTAGGCAAGTGGGCAGGCTCTTAGTTAGGCATACTGAATTCACTGCCCAGAGGAAAGCAGATCAGTAGCTGCCCCTGCTGTCCTTCACACTGAGACTCGGCACATGCTCTGATTTTAACTAGGTGACTTCAACTCAGCATTTTTTCCTAGGGTAAAGTCAACAAACTTTTCCATGGGTTGCTTCATGAGGATGAGAAGAGACCCAGGGTTCACCTTGTCATGGAGAAGGGAGACACGGTGTTCTTCCATCCCCTGCTCATCCATGGCTCTGGGATAAACAAGACATCAGGTTTCCGAAAGGTAGGAAACCATCTCTTGATATAGATTTTGATATCTTTGATTTTTTAAAACTGATTAAACTACCCCACTCCTTTCCAAGCTCATGAATACGTGGATGAATATTTTAATGAGTTTTTAGCTTCCTAATATACTTTTATACTCTCTTTTTGATTGTTTTATTTTTAAACATCTCTGTCTTTTGGGAGAAGAGCATGCTGTGGGGCTGCTTGAGAAAACAGAGCAGGAGTAGAGATTAGATGTTGAATCTGTGCTTGAAGTCGGGCTAGCTGTATTTGCTTTTCTAATAGTTCCCTTTCAGCTGTTCCAAGTATCAGGAGCTTCTCTAACTTTCTTCCGCCTGCCTTCTTGGTTTCTCATCTCTGAATAGCAGGAGCCTCCATCATCCAAGAGATAACAGTTAACATGATCCATTTTTCTATTGAAGATTTGATTATGCATCAGCTATTTGTTTTGCATCATGATTATTTAACTGAAACAGGCAAAAGTGCCCTCCTTTGGAGGCCTGATCCATTCTGCGAAGAGGATTCATCCAGGCACATAAGAGAACTGTAGCCTCTAGTGTAGCCATGAGTAGCAATGTAGATATTTCCCCCCATGCACCGCAACACAGGCTACTCTATTTTTATTTTGCCTGCATTGACTACTGTATAGCCTGTTCTTTCAGCCTCAGTAGCAGTTTGCTGGTGTGGAATTCCTTCCTCCTGCAATTCTGAAAGCAGAGAGGACATCGGGTACTGAGAGTCTCATATACTGGCTCTTTCCTGGCTAGTGAAGCAATAGTCCTGTTTAGTATCCCGCAGAAACACAAGGGCTTCCTCACATTGTGTCATATCCCAACGTCTGTCTGCCTTTGGGGTAAATCTGTGAGTATCCTGGAGCCCTCTGGGCCAGGTTATGGTCCAGCACCATTTGAAATCTGGCATGATCTCGCTCACAGCTGGCATAGCTCATGTAATGAGAGAACAGCTTTATCCAGCGGGGCATTTCTATTTATTTCCTCTAGACTCTGCTTAAGCAAGAACTGATTACAAAATAATTGGGTTGATGTGACTGACTGGGTAGAGAAAATAAGAACCCTTTATTGAACACACGGGTCTGCTCCAACCCTGACTTTCCCGATTCCCACTCTAGTTGCTGATATTCTGAGATCAAGTAGTACAGTTCATGCTGGGGTAGCATTTAGGAGGAAAGAGAAAGAAGAGCATATCATCAAGCAAGAGTATTTCTCCAAGGAGACAATCTCAGGATAGCAAGAGTGCTCAGAAAGGAGCAAGGAATTTGCTGACATGACCTGTGAGTGGTAGGGTGTCCACGATCCGGGGTGCACAAGATTTTTTTATTCTAGCAATCATTTGTAATCAATGTGGTAGTGAGTGATGCCCAATTTCCTCACACAGAGTATAAGCTGTCACTTCGCCAGCTCAGAGTGCTACTACATTGATGTCAAGAACACGACCCAAGAGCACCTAGAGACAGAATTGGTAGAAATGGCTCACAAGAAATACAACTTGACTTCTGTGGAACTCAGGGTAAGACTTGGCTATATGTTCTTTGTAACAGCCCAGGTCAGCTGCCTTTCCTAAGTCTCTCTCCTGTGACAGATTTCTGCTTTTTTCTATACCCAGTTTTGCAGATCAAGCTGTGCCAAGCAGAGGTGCTTCGCAGAATAAAAGACCCGATATTCAGAGGATGACCAACAGGCTTTTTGGGGGCCTTTTAGCTCATAAGTTTGCTTCTTGCTATGCTGGAGAAATAGCCTTGCTCTCTGGGCAGCCCCTTCACATCCTCTGAGCTCCAGAAGTCCCTCCTCTAGCTCTGCTTGTCAAAACGGGTTTTGTGAGCACACCTTGATCTCTTCCAGTGCCGGCTGAGTTGGTGCAGATTAGATCAGCACTTCATTATGTGACTGTGACTGATGTTGTAGCATAAGTGAGGAGGAGCCACAGACTCTGCTGTCGTGTTGGCTCAGCTCTGAGGTTGACTCACATGGACTTCTTCCACCGTTCAAGGGGGTCTAGACTTCGCCCCACTGGGTAGCAGTGGGGAGGGCTAACGTGGCAAGGCAGGAAAAGGGTAAAAATCCATGTAAGTTTTGCCCTTCACTGCATCTCTTGGTTCATGGTTTGTTGTGGGGAGTGTGTCTGAACCAGAGCTCTTTACAGTTATATTTGGACTGCGTAATGTAAATAGGAAGACGTGGTTATCTCTTGCCCTGAATTTGCAAGTATAGGAAGGTGCAGTAAATTCCATAATAACTGCCTGACCACAGTTCTTACAGTTTCCCCTCCTAATGACAGGTGGATTTTCCTTTTAAAACAAGTAGACACATCTGACTGCAATAATAGATTGATTTTTTTTTTTTTTTTTGGTTAAATATAATGCTACATCAATTGTTTAGACTTGAGGCTACAGCAAGTATGTCAGCAGTGACATATATCTACCTCAAAAAAAAAAAAAAAAAAAGGTTGGGGGAGTTATGGACTCTTGCTGAATAACTGAAACCATTGTGTAAGATAGAAAGCAAATTTAAATTCCTCAGGGATTCAGCCACTGAAAGAAAAATAAATATTGTAACTGGGATGGAAATGTTCTGAATTTCTTAATCTGTAGCAGTTCCCAAACATGTGCACAGCCAGTGTCAAGACAGTAGAGTCTAGATGTAACAGGCAGCAATTTTCTTTTAAAATGTACATATTTTACAGGTATTACAATATCTAGGGCATTCTGGAGGAGAGGCCTTTCTTTTTCACCTTTGAAGGTTTTGTTTTTGTTGTGTTTTTTCCAACAGTATGTGTGAGTGTGGTGGGGTGTCCAGCTGTGTTTTGCCAGACTGATCTTACATGTTGTCTGTAAAGTTACAGCTTGCTTGACTTTTGATTCCTGGAGTTATTTAGGTACACAGTGAGATTGGAACTGATGGGTAGTCAGGCTCTATTCTCCTGAGTGGAAATGAGGTTGTGCCCATACAAGCCTCAGATGAGTCTGTGTTTTCATGGCGCTTTAAGCTTTCTTTAACCATTTGGAGTTGGAGCTTTCTCCCAAAGGCATGCCCAACTCTTATATTTCACCTTCTGAAGACTAATTATAAAGACTAAATAATCCTCACACAGGGAAACTGAGGTCGGAGCTTGCCCACGACTTACCTCCATGAAGCAAACAGTGACGGTCTTCTCTGCTTTACAATCTGCAGCATTGCCTGCTCAGCACCAGGTTGCTGGCCAAGGGCTTGCATTTGTATCCATTATTTCCTGCTGGTTTCTGCTGCAGAAGGAATATCACTTGCTCATAGGCAGCACTATGCAAGGTGTAGTCAGCTGGTGAGCTTTTTTGATCATGCAGAAGCGTACAAGGGAGGCATTGTGTGCACAAGCAGGTGAGGGTGAATTCTGTAAGGGTAATATTCTCTCTGCTGCTCATGTTTCCCCTTCTGCCACCTTCCAGAACTGAACCATGGGCAGCTCGCCATCTGTGTAACACCTGCAAACAACCTGTCTCCTGGGGGTGGAGTCTGCACCTCTCCTTAATCTGGGTTGTATTTTTGTTCTTGATAATTTAGGATTTGAAACGATATTCCATAAGTGGTTTGGTATGTTTTTATGGGTAGGTAGCTAAGCTGAGAATGCCGTATCTATTTCCATCTCTGTAATCTGGAATCCTAGTCACAGTTTTTGCTGGCCCTTACAGCTTTTCCTTTGTCTCATTTTTGTTTTGAAGGATATTTGGAACTTCCGAGCACGCCTCGTGCAAGGGGAAAGAATTAACCTGTAGAAAAACCTCTGAAGACCTGGATGGATGACATGTGCCTGAGAATGAGCTTCTCTGATCAGAGAGTGCAGACCTTGCCTTGGCAGGCAGAATTGTGTGTACTTTGTTGACCTGTGTATTGGTAACTTAGCCAAATGCTGCAGCACAAAATCATTTTATGCTAATACAAAATAATTGCACTGAGGTTGAACAGCTGATGTACGTTAAAGAAAACCTAACCTAGAAAACCAGAGATTTGCTGTGGTTATCTTAGACAGTTGAAGAATTAGGGTCTTGAAAGAGCACCTTGATTTTCTTGATGTTTTCATTCTTATCTTTCAGAAGTTTCTCACATGACATAACTTTGGAATGATGGTGTACTAACATAAGATTTTATACAAGGGTATATTTTTAAATGTTTCCAACTCCCTTTTCTATGCGAAAGAATAAAGTGAATCGGAGTTTCACGCAAGGCCTTGGTATGAGCTCACATGGGAAGTCATTAGTACAGCTGGTGAAGGTGGGGATGTCGGTACCAGCAAAATTAATGGTGTAAAGAACTGGATAAAGGGGGTGCAGCAACCACACACATAAGCAAAATGGGACTGATGGACTGGAACTTGATTGCTAGTAGAGTTCCTCAAACATGACCTGGTGTAGCACGATATCTTACCAAGCAGTGCTGGCACGAGTGAAATATGTGGCTGACAGGGTTAGGAACTACTGGGCCATCAAACTAGCCTCCCGTTGGCATTGCACAATCCATTTGAGGCTGTGTGAAATGGGGCAGTCCTCCTTTGAGTCTGGGAGGTCTGGAAAAAGATGCCTTTTGGTGCTGTCAGGTCAGGGGGGTGGTTGGATGCTCCTCAGGATGCACTGTTGGCAGGGTGGAGAGACATGCACCGAAATGATCTTGCTTTTCACACTATTTTTCCCTGCTTTCTGAGAGATTCTTTTGCTTTCAAAATCTATTTTTTTAAATACAGATTAAATCAGATCAAAACCATGTTCAAGGGCTGCATTGCATTGTTTCTGTTGCCCAGAAATTCTGGAGGTGGGTGCATTACTGAAGACTTCAGTGCAAAACAGCGATCCTCAGCTCTTTCCCACTCCCTGCTTCCACCCAAAGACAGTGCCATAACATCCCCAAAGGCTGCACTGATGGGATCTCATGGTTCCTTCTGTTACCTTGTGATATGGGAGGTCACTCAGGTGAGACAGCAGATCAGGAACAGTCTTAACTTACAAGGCTCAACACTGAACTGCCTAGACAAGCAGCTGCAAGTCAAAGCTGTTGCTGTCATTTCTTACAGGCCCATGTAATGCAGAGGAGGACTTTATGCTTCTCTTTCCTCCTGCAACATCTACGGGTTTTCTTGTTTGTTTCTATGCTTTTAAAATGAGGCAAGGTTTGAGCACAGTTATTGTGTTGGTCCTAAACCCCTGGTAGTGGGGTGAGGTGTCTGGGCTGTGGTTCCCATCTGGAGACAGACATATTCTCCGTATCCTCTAGTTTGACCACAACACCAAGAAGTCTGATGAGAAGGAAACTTTAAGACAGACCCCCAGGCCTGCTTAATGGGTAATTTCGTGTATCCTGGTTCCTGCATCTCTTCTCATGTCTGTATAATCCTGGCATTGATCCTGCTCTGGGGAAGATGTGCCAGGATGCCTCTCCAGACTTTGACCTTCTCAGCCTGGTCTTTGCTTACTGCATGGGCCCAAGTGAATGATTTCCAGAGCGTTGGAGGCTTCTCTGTTGACTTTGTTGAGCTCTGGCTCACAGCCTAGCTGGTACGCTCCTTTGGACTTTTGTGAGGACTTAGAGTATCCAGCCTGATTTACGACACAGGATTCGTGGAAAGACTTCACTGTCTGGCATTATTGGTGGAGCTGAGTCGACTGCAGAGGGAGCTGCGACCACAGAGAAGAGCTACAGGTGTCCGTCGGATTTCCAGAGCTTCCAGACTGTGAATTTCTCTCACTAAGGATGGAAGAGAGAAGGAAAGGAAGATCTTTAGCTTTGTTTTTAAAAATTTGCTCATGTCTGCCTACAGATTTAGGCTTAAATTTCTTCTTTCAGAAGAACAAGCCCATCAAAGACCTTGCAGATCATCTAAACTCAGCAGTAGTCCCACCAGATGAGAGATTCATGTCCTCACTCTTTCCTACAGCAGGTTGAGGATACTCCAGGGCCTGGGGAGAACTAAGCTTAGGCAAGCTCCACTCGACTTTATACAAGGCCAGGTCAGCTTCATCCTAACAATGCCAAGGAATCTGATCCCTGCCCCCTAAAATTATCTGGGCAGGGCCAGATCCAGCAATGTTTCTTGGCACCTTCTCAGCAAAGCTACATGTTCGTGGGTGCAGGACACTGTCCCTGGGAGAGTAAGGAGCTACAAGCACTTCCTCACAGGATATTTGAGCAAGGGCTGGAGTCCAAAGGATGTTTTATCAGGTCATGTAAATGTGACCTCCTGTGCGAGTGATCTACCTTGTAAGTGCTTTCTTTCTTCTGTTCCCACCAGAGTTCCAGCTAGCAGAGATTCTGCAATCACGGGTTTCCAAAACACACGCCCCACCAGTGGAAAGTCACAACTAGAAATTCATCCGCATCTCCAGCACTTGGCTTTCTGGGTGAAAAACCAAACGACAACCACGTATCTCTTAGGGTTTGGTTTCCTGGCGGTACAGTGCAGCTGCTCACGTCTGCATGCATGCGTGTCATTCGGGTGACTGCAGGGGGAGATGCGGCCACAGAAGAGCTGCAAGGTCTCATTAGCTTTCAGATCCGAAGTCCCTCTTCTTTGAACTAACCCTACTGCAGCAGGAAGGGGAGGAGGAAAAGAAAAGCCATAATTAACCAAGTCACCTGCTGCTCCAAGCTTTTTTTTTTTTTTTCCCAGGAGGAAACCTGCCCAGCGTGCCACGGCCCCACAAAGAAGTGCAAGAACCCAAGTGCTGACACTGCTCATGCCTCAATGATTTTTGCAATCCCAAAGTATCAAGCTATTTCCATCAGAAATGGGATCTTTTTTTTTTTTTTTTTTTTTTGCTATGCTGTGAAAAGATCGTGTGAAAAAGAGTAAGAGCCCTGCCAAGAGGACCATGTTCAACCCATTGTCTCCACCTTTTTTGGAGTCAAAAGAGACTGAAGGAAAGCTGACTCCAGTTTGTAATGTGGACATGCTGCATTCAATCTACTCCTGGTCCTTGGAGCAGGCGCCGTACCTTGACCCACAGTCTGTGAAGTTGGCTCAAGGAGAGGTGAAAGATGAAGGACAGCAAATTCCTGGAGGAAAACCCCCACCTTTCAGCAGTGTCTGCTTCACAGTGTAGAGCTTGAGGGAGGAGTGAGGATGAACTGACTGTCACAGCAGTAGCACAAACTAGTCTGAACTGACAGACTGGTCAGAGTGAACTGTGACGTGGTGGGGCTGACGTCCACTTTGCTGGAGTGATGAGGCTCTGTGGCACGGTGGCAACGGGGGACATGTGCAAAGATGTCAAAAATCATCTTCTGAACTGTGCTGCAGGTCTGCTATGGATCCATATTCAATCTCAGTATTTATCTCCTCTCAAATATCGCTCACAGGCAGATGAGAGTACAAAGGGCACTGCTAAGGACAGTATACATTGAACATACAATTTTTAAGCATGTACCAAGTTGAGAGGAATACAAGGCCTTTGCAACCTCTGTTTGCAGCTCCCTGTTTTTAAGCTAGCTTCACTTTTCCTTCTCTCCCTACTCCAGGATTTCCCCCCCTAGGGTTTTTCTTTCCCAGCAGGGCACTCTTAGAAGGTGGGAGCCATCATGCTGTTTGGCTTAGCAAACCACCCGTGCCAGCACAGATGTGGTGTGTGACCGAGCATGCAAGGTGATGGGTTTTGCACGCTTGTTGTCTATGTCCTCACAGCCATCATGGCAGCTGCTGGCAGCTGTGAATGAGCTGAATAGTGGAAAGGGAGCGTGTAGAAACATGCTTGAACTTTCCCCACCTACTTCCCAATCGCTGGTGTCAAGCCCTCCTGTTGCCAAACCTTCCCACTCCTTCGTTCCTGTGCCTAGCCCAGCCAGGCTGGTGAGACCCTCAGCTTCTTGAGGAGCTCCTGTGCATGAACAGGCACCAGCACATGCCAAGGGGAGGTGAAGAGGAGCAAACAGCATCCAGGGACTGTCATCTTGATGCTACCCATGCTCCACCCTGAGTGCTGTGCAGATCTTGTAAGTGCTGGACGGCGAGCTGGACTCTTGGTGACATCTCATTGTCAAAGCCAAACACAACTGCTCAGCTGGATGCCATCCTGCAGCACTTATCCCCACGTCTGGGTGCAGCCCCTGCTCCTGTAGCTTTTCTGATCTGGGGCTGGGGTGGAAAGGGAGGAGGTGGGTGAGTGGAAAGCAACTGTGGTCTCCACATCAGCTGTTTTGTGACCTGGATAGCACAAGGCCTGGTGTCTTCCACAGCCTGAAATGGGGCCTGAAGGATCCCAGAGATGTTTCTTGGATGTTTGATGTGAGAAAGCAAAGTGCTGCACTCTGTATTCCCAGCCTCCTCTCTCACCAACTGAAAGGTACTTGTGAATTCATCTGCAGCTCTGAACAGAGCCGGGAGGAAAAGCAGTGTTTGTACTTGGTGACCTGCCTCAAACTGCAAGCACACAAGGAAGCTTACTTGATGTGTCATTTGAGAGTATGACTTTCCCAGGTTGATGTCTTTCTTTTTCTTAGATGGCTGGGGTGAGGAGGTTGTATGGAGAAGTCTGAATTTCTGGACTGGTTTGCGAGTTTGGGTTGAACAAGTTTCTCCTGAAGAGAGTGGGAACCAGGAGGAGAGAGATGGATTTGGAAAACCAAAAATGGCTTGTTGAAACAAAGGTGTTTGTTGTTTTTTTGGTTTTTTGTTTTTTTTATTTTTTTATTTTACAATGTTCCCCAGCATCCTATGAACAACAGATGAAGTTTTTTGAATCTTGAACCTTGCTCTCTCAGCCTTTCCAAAAACATTTGCTTGCTTCTGAGTGTACCCAAGTATTATATTTCCCGTGCAGTTGTCTAACATGCCTGTGAATACGTTATTCCCAAAAGGAGGTGTGTGAGGGGAAATGTTTAAATACTCCATGTCTTCACCCAAATGAGCTGCTGGGGGCAGCAGCTCCTTCCCAGCCTGTGTGCCTCTTGTTTCAGTTGTCCAAGCAACCCAAACTTGTCCTTTGAGCATTGCAAGGTGGCAAGAGCAGAACCAGAGAGAGGAAGAAACGTTGCAAAGCCTGAGAGGAAGGTATTCAACTGGAGTCCAGTTCTTGGTGACTGGTCTTCTTGGTCTTCTGTCCCCCCCCCCCCCCCACCCCCGTACTGTTCTGGGAGGTGGAGATGTGCTGAGGAGGGCACCACAGCTGGGGTTCAAACTGTCTGTGTCTCCATTAACTCTGTGATGCCTGAAGAGAGGAGGAAAGACCTGCCTGGAATTTTTGAGGGTAGGAGCAGCGCCCTGAACATCTGGAGAGCCTGAGAGGCCGTGACTCTCATTCCCACCAAATCTGGGACCTGAAGTGTGGAGTGAAGCATTTACCCCCTGTTAAGCTTGCTGCAGCTGTGCCCTCCGTACGGGCATCCTTTGCTCAAGACCCACTGTGTTGTTTTTCACCCTGCTCTCACTGACTGCTTGCACCCTGCACGTGCCTCTTCCTCCTCACTCTCCCCTGAGCTTTTCCCTTCTTACATCTCCCTCCTCAGCTGCTCCTCTCGCCCCTTTTGCTTTCCTCTGACTCGCCTCTACCAGTTGCATTTGCGTGGACAGCCTGTGTCCACACTTATACCTCACCTGACTTCACCAGGTAAGGTTTAAACTTTCTGTGGGTGAAGCTTCAACACCATGTGCAAAGCTGTTGTGAAGGTTCATTAGTGAGGTGGGGTAACTGTCCTCTGGGTGACACTGCTCTCTCTGCATAGCAGAACACAGTCGTGTTTGTTTAAACTCATTAAAATGAATTGGAGGTTTCCTTTCTGTGTGCTTTCACTGTGAGGTGTTGGGAAGGGTGTCATTCCTCCGCAGTAATGTTTTCATGCTTTACTGTGCCTGAGTATAAATTCCTTAACTGATATGCCAGATAAGTGCTCCTGCGCCAGCAGCAGATTGTGCTGCTGCTCAGCCAAGGATGTTTCAGTAAGTTGTACCTCTGTTCCTACAAAAAATAAAAAAATCAAACACTGAATTTCAAAATTTCAATTCATACTTCATTTTACCTATTTCCCTCCAAGTGCTCTTGCTGTTTGCTATGGGGAGACTTTCTTGCTGATTCTCCCCTGGACGCCGGCTGGAGCCACCTGCCTCTCCCCAGCAGCCACCGGTCCCTCGCATGTCACCGTCCTCCTGCCAGGTCTTGCTGATGCTGCTCCCGTTGCTGTGCCCGGCCCTACAAACATGTTTCTCCTCTGTGTCTCAGCTGTACCCTGGACAACAACGTCCTCACCACAGAGCAAAGGCAGTTCTACGAAGACAACGGGTATCTGCTCATTAAGAAGCTCGTTTCTGACGAAGACATTGAGCGCTTCAGGTACGGGGCACTTGCCTAAGGTGCTGGGGGATCCTGTCTGCAGCAGCATCCCGGGGGAGCTCTGGGAAGCTGGAGGAAGCTGGACTTACCCAACATGGATGTGTGTGGTGTTGCTGGGTACCTTCCTCCGCAGCACTCGTGAGTAACCTGCGTGAACGTGGCTAAAACGTGCTCTGGCTTCTCCGGTTCCCTCTGCTTTGCAGGAAGGAGTTTTAAGGGTCTGTAACAAGGAGGTGAATCCACCAGGAGTTCTGATAATGAGGGACAAGATCCACAGACCCAACTTTGTTTGGTCTGAAAAAACAGTTAATACAGTGCATGATTTCTGGGAAGATGAAGAGTTTTTCAGATACTGTACTCTGCCAGAGGTAAAAAGCCAACAAGAAGATGGTGGTGAGAGCACCTAGTAGAGATTTGTGAACATAACTATGTTTTAATGCCAAGGTGACACAATGTCCAAGCAGGGCAGGCCAAACTAACCCTTCTGGAAGGTTATGTGACGCTCTGTTTTGTACAAGCCTACTTTAATACACGCTCCATCCAATATCAGATGGATTTGTACTTTGTGTTCATGTTGTGGTAGTTATCAGCAGCAGATTCCCATCACTTTTCATAAGATAAGAAAGTATATTAATGTATGTAATGTGCAGATACAGTTCCTCATGTATTGGTTTGTTCTGGATCCTGGAGCCCTACAAAAGTCAGGGTGTGTTTGAGAATCAGAGATGGACATATGAGATTTCATAAAGCTCTTGAGCGGTTGCCCTGGCTGTCATCCATCTTCAGCCATGCCTTGGCATATACTGCAGCAGAGGAAGCACTGCTGAGCATTGCACCTGCAGCAACATCTATAGGTGGTTTGTTTGTGCTTGCTTTTTATTTTGGGTAAAACTGCTGTTAATAGGTCCACCTTCATGAACAACCCAATCAGTGATTAATTTATGGTATAGATCTGTCTAGCTTATGTTTTACTTGCTATATATTACTGCAGCATAAAACACAAATATTTTTTCTGCTGCTTTTTCCTTTGTAGATCCTAAAATATATTGAATGCTTCACAGGGCCAAACATAATGGCCATGCAGATGATGCTGATAAATAAACTTCCAGATCCTGGTGAGCAGAGCTCCAGGGAGAGGGAAATGCAGAAGTTGTTAGTATGCCTGTGTCGCTGTGTATTTAACTGAAGCAGCACTTGCCCTTTTAGAAAAGTTGCTTGACTTCAATTGAATTAAAAGCAATTTGGAAAATGTATGAAGTTATTTTGGTAACAGTGTGTTTTAATTTAGCCCTGGCTTGGTGGGAGATGTTTCTTATCGTTTGGTTTGCTGTAGATGTTCGGGTTCATACGCTGGGAGGTACATGTGTGCCTCCTGAAATGCTGTTACATTTAACTGCAAGTTACATCTAAAATATTCTTTCCAACTAATTTATTGTGTTTCTGCAGTTTAAGTCTTTGCGCCATGTTAACTGTCCCTCAATTCTTTTTCTTTTTTTTTTTTTTTTAAAAAAGGCATTCAAATTTCAAAAAGGAACATGCAAGAATTAGACATCCAGCTGCATATCTAGCTGTCAGCACCTGCATGAAGCCCCACTGTTTAAGACACTGTTTTTTTTTTTTTCAGGCTTGGAATTTCACATGTGTTGAAAACAAGTGCTTCCTGGAGATTGGTAAAAGACAATAAATACAGAGAAGATCCTTTGCTTAGAGTTTATGTGCTATTTTCCAGACTAACAGTTCAGAAATATCAAATTTAGTCTGACTCCTGACCTTGCTGACAGCGGTTGCACGCTCAGCGCTTTGACAGGAAGAACACTTGAATAGGTGCCAAAGGAAGAATTTTGAATCCTGGCTTTGGCTTCTAGTGCTCATGGATCAAAGTCTTCATACAAGAGAAAGAGGGGGGGAAAAGGGGGTTTAATTAACTACATGACACTTTTTTCAAAGGTGATTTGACCCTTCATAAGCTTTTGCAGTTCAGCAAAGCTGAGACCCGAGCTGGTTCCTATTCTGAGGTGTCCAGCTTCTGCATGGGCAGAGTACATTGAGTTATTGAAACACTCAGTTGGTTCATGCCACTCCCAGCAAGCCCGCAGAGCAGCTATGGACCCAAGCACCATGTCTAGGCTCTTACTGGGACCACAGAGTGAGATTTAAACTCATTTGGCCTCGCAATTGAGGGCCAGCAAGGAGCATGCTTAGAGACAGTGCTTCACCTGCAACTTTGGAGCAGTTTCTTGGGACCCATTACCGCCATAGGTGATGTGGTGTTCCCCTGGACAGTTCTATGTCACATCTAAAGTGCATGAAGAGCCTTTTTAGCGCAGCCCCCTGCATTCCCTGGCTTTCAAGTAACCCGAGTGCTTGCCACCCCATGCATCAGGACTTGCACTATTTCCCCTTCTGCCTGGTCGTGCAGCCAGGGACACGCAAGGAGCCCCCGAAGCCTCACGGCTACCCAAAGTGGGAGGTAGAGTGGCACCAGGGGTGGGGGAGGGCGTGCATGAGGGAACCACATTTTGGGTGTGTGGGGGGTACACTCTACCACAGTCTGTGTCTGGGAAGCTGTCTGGTACCAACCGGTATTTGTTTGCACTGATCAATCATTTTTCACTATCCTTCCCAAGTCTGAAGATGCTTTCTCTTTCTCTGAATTCATTTTTTTTGCCAGGCAAGCATGTTAGTTTTCCTGTGGAAGAAAACTGGATGATAAACAATTGACCAGAATTTAATTTCAAGCAATATTTTTCTTCTAAGCAAGGCTGCTTCCTGACCTGGCCCAGTGCTGGTGACGGCTGGGCTTGGAGCAGGAGGCTGGACTTGACACCCCAGAGGTGGCATCAGGCAACACTTGTGGAGCTCCCTTGTGCTCTTCTCCGTTCTCTCCAGCAGAGAGAAATTTTTAATTGTTTGAATTCAACTTCAGAAAGCAGATGAAGAACATTTTAGTTGTGAGATGGGAATTTCTCATAGGGTTCTGCGGGTCAAAAGTGAAAGTGAGCAGAGAAGTCCCATCGTGTGTGTGTATGAGGTGCAACTGGAGAAGTTATCTGTGACATGTGCAAAGACGATCCAGAAAGCAGAGTGAACCGTTCTGGTTCCTTACGGTGAGTCCTTTATAGCTGATTAGCAAGGCTTGTAGGTGAACATGCAGACTCTACATCAGGTATATTAAATGTAATACCTTCAAGAAAGAAACCGAGATGCCTTTGCATCTCTTCTTCTACACTGAGAAACTGGCGGTGTTCTAATTTTACTGAATTATTGAAACTCTTTCTTGGTTTCTAGAGTCCATTGAACAAATTTTTCCATGCGATGCTGGATTATGTTTAGAAGCATCCCAGGGCTCACATTATGATGGAGAAGGGAGACATGGTGTTCTTCCATCCACTGCTTATTCAAAGCTCTGGAGCAAACAAGACATCAGGTTTCCAAAAGGTAGGAAACCACTTGTAGATACAGCTGTCAATATTTATTTAGCTGCTAAACACCATCAAAGAACTGATTACAAAATATGTGGGTTGATGCAACTGTCTGGGTGCGGAGTAAGAATCCTTATGAACACACAGATCTGTGCTGACCTGATTTCTCCGATTGCCACTCTGATTGCTGGTAATCTGAGATCAAGGAGGTGAAGTATTGCTTTAGGTTGTGCATGTCCATGATCTGGGATGCATGAGCTTTTTTTCCACCAGTCATTCATAATCCATGTGGTAGTGAGTGATGCCCAGTTTCCTCACACAGTATAAACTGTCGCCTCTCCCGCCTGGAGTGCTGCCACACTGATGTAAAGGCACCTGCAGAAAGAAGTGATTGAATTTAGACATCCAAAATATGAAGTGACTTCTGCTTCAGACCTTGCAGTAATCTTAAGTCATGATGTTATTTTGTAAATGGCAAGCATTTTTGGCCTTTTTGCTGATAAACTTCTTGCTGCCTGGCTGCCTGTGCTGGAGAAGAGCCCTTGCTCTCCAGGCAGCCCCTTCACGGCTCTGGAAAGCAGCGGAGGAACTCTGTAAGTTCCTCCTCCAGTTCTGCTCATCTCCGTTCCCACCTCTGACCTGACAGAAGTTTTTTTCCAAGCACCTCGGTATCTTCCAGTTCAAATCAGCCCACCTAGGGCAAACACATGCCAGCAGCTGTTCAGGTGACGATAACTGAATTTGAAAGAAAAGGAGAGCATAGTTTATACAGTACCCAACTGTGGTGTCTTCTATGTACACCACATCAACCCAATGAGCCTTTTGGCTTATTTCAAGGGTGGGTGTGTGTGTTGGGATTTGTAGCTTTTTGTTTCATCTAGTGTTGTCTGTACTTTTCCATTTGAAATTTTGAAAAGACTATTAATAATTAATGGGTACTTTTATGAATACATGGCCAAACAGATAAGCTTATGCCAGGAATAAACAGGAAACGCTATATCCAAAGGCAGTATGTTTTTTCGATTTTGATTTTTTTAATGCAGGGTGTTTGGAAGAAGCAAGCAAAAGTTGTGCAAGGAAGAATTAATCTTCAAAGTGGCCTCTGACCACCAGGATGGAAAATGTGTGCCTGAGCATCAGCTTCTGCATAGCCAGATTTATGCACTTCTCGCCCTCTGTGTAAGAAACTTACCCAAATACTGCCCTACAAAATCATTTGATGCCAATACAAAATAGTTGCATTGACGTTGAACAGCTGATGTACTTCAAAGAAAACCTGACCTACAAAAACAGATTTGCTGCAGTTATTTTAGGTAATCAAAGAATAATTATGATGGGAGATGTGCTTCACTTCTTGATTTTCTTCTAGTCTCTGTCTTGTTATTCTGTTGGGCTGATGCTCTATTAATGTGAGCTTGTTAATAACCTTAATAGAATTATAATAATTATTATAGTTAGATGAAAGTAATATTATTAATATAAGATTCTATGCATGATTATGCTTTTAAGGTTTCTAACATATTTTTTCCATGCAAAATAAACACTGTGAATTGGAGTTTCATGCGAGCTTCAGTATGCACTCACATGGGAAGCTATTAGTACAACAGATGAAGATGTGGATTTTACTTTTATTTTTTAAATAAAGATTAAATTAGAGCAAACCCATGTTTGGTGGCTGTGTTGTATTATTTCTATGGTTCAGAAATTCTGCCAATGGGTGTGTGGCTGAGTAACGAAAGTGAACCCTGGAAATGCGGGTGTTTGGTCTGAAAAATTGTCAGGGTGCTGTAGTCAAGTCACCCCAAAACCAACCAACAGCTGCCAGTGTCCTGCCAGTCCTGCAGGATGTTTGGGCACAGGGCAGGTGAGAGCAATCCCAGTGCTCCCACTGCTGAGCCCGCCCGGGGTGGTTTGCAGGACTGGGGAACAGTTAGGGAGAGCTGTTCTTTATTCCAGGAAATCCCGCTGCAGTTCAGCGGGATGTTCTGGGATGCTGGGGTGTAGTTTTGGTGTGTGGGGCTGGACACCTTCTCCTGAAGGCTTCCAGCCCAGTGGGAGTTTGGCTTTATCACCATTACTTTCTCCAAAAATCATCAGGACGTGTTAATGAGTTCCAGGAGCTGGTAGGTGCTTCCTTGGCACCATAGTTCAGTGCAATTATGAGTCATTTTGTTAACATTAAAGTCAATGTCTTTGTTGCGAGCTACAGCCATTTTTTTTTTTTTTCCTTTGAAGTCCTAGCAGACACTTCATGATTACTATAGCCATTTCTCACAGATATGGCAATGCCAAACCCATTTTGGAGCTAGCTGGTGGCAAACCACCCACCAGTACCTCTTCATCTCCCTGCTCCTTGTCTGTGCAAGTGGTGCGGGTACCCCAAAACCAGACCTGTCCCTTTCTTGGCTCTAAGTCTATGAAGACAGAACAGAAAAATACAATATAAGCAGCTGTGCTGGAGAGGAAGCCATGTGACACATTGATACAGCAGCAAGTCTGGCTGCCTGGGCTGTGAGCTGCCAGGCAGCCAACAAAAGGTGTAAGTGAACACCAGGGCAGGTAGGAAAGTCTGGAAGAAATCTAACAGCAAGGTGCAAACTTAATAATGAGAATAAACGTCTTGGAGAAGCCAGGTCCCCAGAGACACTAGGGATTTCCCCTCCCTCTGCATTTACCTGTCATTCTAAAAGTCAGGTTTTGAGTCTTCATCTAACAGATCACGGACAAAGGTTATTTTGCCATTTTTGTGTCACTGCTAGGCATTGAAATAGAAAAGAGCACTGGTTGTCCAGGCTGTTTTTTTGGCCAGCAGTGGAGGACCCCAGCTGCACCCTGAGTGAGGCTCTCCTGCATGGGCATCACAGGGCTGTTTTCAGGGTGAAACAGGCTCTGCAACATGGCTTTGAACGGGAAATGATTATAAAAGAAGAAAAGTTTTGTTTACACTCTTGTCCCACCTATACTTAATTTTGGGAGGGAAAAGCCAGGCACAAGGGGGTTGGGAAAAATAAAATTATGTGAAATGGCTGGGTGAGTCCAGTTTGCAAGTGGAGCTGCACATGATGGCCCGAGAAATGGCCACAGGGGCTCTGCCATGAAGAACTGACAGGCAAAAGGGAAGGACTGCAGTAGTATATTTATTATGAAAGAGTATTAAGTTTTCATTAAGTTCATTTTACTTGAGAGTTAATAAACCTAAACTGGTTAATGCAGAGGGAGAAAAGTGCAAAAGGTTTAATTTTTCCTCAAAGTGTTTGTAAAATCCAAGGAAATATAATTTGTAGCAGCAGGGTAAAATGCTCTAAATTAACATTTCAGCAGTAGGTGAGGGGTTGAGGAGAGACAGGATGCTTAACCCATCTAAAAAACAAGCCTGGTTTTGTAGGAGGTTTTTATGAGAGAAGCTGGATAGCTTCCTGCTCATTTTCATATATACACAGAGAACTCTGTAACTGGAGAAACAACCTTGCAGAAAGAACAGTTCCTGGCTGTGGAAATGGCTGATTTATCAGTTTACTACTGGGCAAGTCTTAATAACAGCTCTGAGAATACACTTTGGACATTAGATTTCCAGTATGGTTTTTCTTAACGATTTAGGGGACATGGCAGCTTCAGCAACACTGCTGACTCGACTTACCAGCGATGCCAATGGCAGCAGCAGAAGTTTCTGTAATGTTAATCCAGTTTAATGCCTTATACTTACTGGTGGGGTTAGGGCAGACTCACATCCATTGACTGCTTCCTCTCTTGCTAACACCGCCTGGCCTGCAGCTGGGCTTTCTTCATTGCAAGGTCTTTGTACCTTGTTCCCAAAACTGGGCCAGCTTCAGCGGCAGTGTAGATCCAGCTGGGCTTGCCAGGTCTCGCCCGAGCTGCCTCGCCTGGGTCTCCAGCTCTGCTCTTGCTCCCAAGTATTGGTGGAAATGTCTCGGCTCGGTGTGGACTGGAGACCCCACAGGCAGCTCTGGCAGTGCTGGGGCTGTGTGCTCATGTGGCAGCTTGCCCCGGTGCGCAGCTCCCCTCCTACCTGCTTCTGCTGGGCTGGAGCCGTCACTGGCACAAGGAAAACATCTCCATAAATAGATCGAGGCACATGAAATCCAATGCATCAAGCTCCCCCGCTTCTTGTTTACTGCAGGGGTTTAAGCAAAGCACCACACCTTGGTTTCTTCATCCTATTTTTACATACAAGGAAGAATTGAGAGTGTTGCTTTCATTCCTCGGCTCCCAAGGAGCCACGCGCCTTTCCTGCGTATCACAGGCCTGAGGGTATTTATAAAGATACAGCATTACTCCACCTTCGACACTTTAATTTGTGCAAAAATCTCCTTTCCATTGGCCAAAGAAACTGGAACTGGAAAAAGCCTTAAGCTTCCAACATGCTGGCTGAAGGCTGATACTGATGTGGAATTCCATGCTGGTTGGGTGGACTCCAGGTGGGAAACTCCTGTTGGTCTGAATGAGAAAATTGTGCGGCAGCCCGAGTTATGGACCACAAACCATTCCATTTGATGATTTGGCACCAGGCTCCCAGACAAACCACAGAATCCTAGAATGGTTTGGGTTGGGTTTGGGTTGGAAGGAACCTTAAAGATCATCTAGTTTCAACCCCCCTGCCGTGGGCAGGGTCACCTTCCACTAGATCAGGTTGCTCAATGCCCTGTCCAGCCTAGCCTCAAAATGAAAATGCTGAAGCAACTCATCCTCTTCTTCAGAGAAATGACACTGTACAAACCCAGTGTGTTTTATTGCGCACTGTATTTATTCTGAATGAGGAATTAAGAGGAGACAGTGACAAGCAATGGCACAGTTACACATATTTAGTCACCCACAGGTGACACTCCAGCCATCAAACGGTATCGATATGAGGCTGAAATGACAGTAACATGCTGAGCACAGCTGCCCAGCAAAAGCACCTGTAGATGAGGGCTGCAGAATATGGAGGTAAATCTGTCCAGTTGCTTCAAATGAAGTACCTTATTTCTCTTCTAGGCCCTGTGCAATCAAACAAGAGGTATCGACAAGGCCACTGGGACATGCAAGACTGCTGGTGGCAGTTTCACTGAGTCACTGAGGTACTAGTGGTATTAGGCATTTAAAAATACCCTGTGATGCTGCTGGGCATGAGCTAAGGGCAGCAGAAAGATGGGGTCCAGGAAAAGCTGCCTGGACACCACAGGCATCCCTATAGAGATGCGCTTTCAGAAAACCACCTGTATGAAGACAGCCCTTCTCAGGAGCTGCCCCTTGGAGACCTGGTCCTGCTTGGTCTGAGCCAGCTACTGTTCCCCAGCAGCTGTGCCAGCAGCCCAAGCTGGCCTGGTGACAACTGGGGAAGATTTCAGGAAAATTTAAAATGCCAGAGAAAGGGTAAAAACTATTAAATGTAAGCACTCAGCTCTTTAAAGCCACTCACATAAGTGTCCTGGATTAATTAAAGTCCTTTTCAAAGTGGGAGCTGCAGGTTTGTAGCCATTAAGGTGTTGTAGTGTGGATGGTGCTGGGAACCTGGCATGGGCTGGGTGATAGGGAAAGGGTGTTCAAAAATCCTGCTAGTTTGCAGTGTAAACACTGCTGGTGTGCTGTGCCAAAGCCATGAAGGGTTACTGAACACATAAGCTGAGGGGACAACTCAAGAACTGTTTGATATCTGTTCTTAAAGGTTCAAAGTGAGTAATTTTGGAACCAATGAAGACCGCTCTGTGGCTACAACCCTCTCACACCTCTTCTCAACTAGCAGCTGAAAACCCTTGACAGGCTGGCATTTACGCACAGCAGTATTAACTTCACAAGTACCTATGGAGCCTACAGTCCTCAGTTCATGATGATTTGTCACTTAGAATTCCGGTGAAGCCACTCTATAGCAGCCATTCAACACAAACTGTGGGATCCCTAGGGATTTCTTAGTACAAATTCCTCTCTAGATGTCTTTTCTAGGTTCAATCTTGTAAACAAATTGTTAGTAAGAAAGAGCAGGCATGAATGTGTGTTTCACATGCAGCCTTATACAGCCAGTTTTAAAAAGATCAAAGCTGAGTATTCCATGCAGTGGCCTGGTAGAGACTTCGTAGATGTCCTCCTCATCAGGAGTTGACTCCCCGGCTCATTCATCCCTAAAACCAGAATCTTCTTGGCATTCCAGTAAAGAAATGTGTGTTTTAGACACAGAAATCCATCCTTATGTTGTGAAAAAAATCAACTCCAGGTCACTTAAGACTATTGAGAAATTTTGGTTGTTCCTCCCCTCTTGGCAAAAGTGTTTCTCCGCCAATCTTCGGACCTTTTTTCTCCTAGAAATATGAACCATGGAGAAAAGAAGTTAAACATGTGGAAAGATGTCTCACAAACATTTATTTGACAGAAGTTGTGGTAGAGCAAAATTATTTGATTAAATATTGAAAGACACCCCAGGAACTCTGACTTTCTGAATTCTTACAACTTCAGTCAAAAGCGAATTCCCCACAGTTAAATAAAACAAAGCTTCAAGAACAGAAAGCAAGGAGAGAAAGTCCACTAAAAGCCTGCAGGTACCTGTATGTATCTGGCAAAATGGAACTGCTTAGTTTTGCTGGGAGCTTGTAAGGGCACTGAAGAAAAGCGCGGGACAAAATTACCAAGAGAAGCAGCCAGAGCACTGAGGTGCTCAGAAACCGTTGGCTCACACTTACCTTTAGCATCCCGTCTCGCTCCCACTTGAAGAGGCCACAGGTACTGAAAGATGAAGATGGCAGGTGAGGACCACTGTGGTGAGTGTTTGCTGCACAGTGTGAGGGGGTCCAAAACTAGCCCCACACTTCCCCCACACTGCTTAGCACAAGGGCTAACCATGTCCTAAAATGGGAATGTTATGTGACTCCCAACATATTACTTGTGAATGAACAGTAGAAAACCCTCAGTCACTATTTCACAAAGCTCATTTCTTACCTGCAGGGCTTTTTTGGGAGCCTGTCAAGGGAAATAGCTCGGTTTCCACAAGGACATTTGAAAAATCGCTTGATGGCATCATGCCAGTGGTAGTCGTGGTTATCCTGCACGCACGTCTCCAGAGCCTTGAAATAGGTGTAATTACACTGTCAGGGAGGAAAGAGCGAGCTGTGAGCACTTCCCCAGCACGGGAGACCTGTAGTGCAGGCTGGAAACAGCTGAACATTGAGAGGAAAGCATCCCTCTGTCTTTTCCCATCCTGAGGAGCCCACCAGCCAGGCTTTGTCACTGCCCCTTCTAAAGCCATGGCACCGCCCCGTGGCCCTGCTCCCAGCACCTCATGGGGCACACAGTGGCCCTCTGGGCAGCCCCAAAACAGACAGGAAAGGCAGCGAAAGTCCAGCAAGGGCTGAAACTCTGGAAATGGGAGGTAACTCCCCCCTTCCTCTCTGCACATTTGGGATAATAACAGAGCTCCATTCCTATTCCTGACAGCAAACTCCCTGGAAATGCAAGTAGAGGAATCCCACCCAGTGTTACGTTCTCGAGGCACTTGGCTTATGTTGTTATGGAATATGGGGAACTGAGAGCTCTGGTACAAAGCACTTCGGGGAAGAAACTGATTATTTTCAGGACACTAACACCCAAGGAAGCCACTAGCATAAACATCAAGTTGAGATGTTCAGCACAGCCCTAAAGCCTGCCTTGCAAAGTGTCTTGTGTCTCAGTCACACAGTGCTGTTACGCTGGCACCCCTTCACTCACTGTTTTACAGGTCACAACTCGACATTTCACTTCTTTAATGCTCCTCATCTTCTCTTCCATTTCTTCCTTTTTCACCAGTGGCTGAAAGTATTGCTCCTGCAGTTCAGCCTCAGCCTGTGGGGGCACATGAAAAGGGTTGTGGGTAGACAAAGACGGCAGAAGCGACTCCATAAATGGCCTTATGGCAAATTACTACCAGGCCTGCTTGAAGCAGACTGCAGTCTGGAAGCCAGAGAAACACCAAATATCTTTTTTTCAAAAAATCCATATAATGCACATGTTGTGCTTCAGCACTGAAACGAGCCACCTCTGGGATGTATGAGTGGGAGGGCTTAACAATAGCATGTACTACTGAAATAAGCACGTACCTGTGAGGACAGTGCAGGAGAGGTCAGGTAGGCAGATGTCATGAATAGAATGAGTTCTGAGCTAAAATATTACTCCTCAGAAGACCGTAAAACACCCAGGACTTCATACCAATACGTGTCCAAGACAAGAGCCCTGTGTCACCAGAGGTGCTGTATCCCTGGGAACATGCTCAGCAAAGACCCCAATGGGAGAAACCCAACCTCTTAGCTCTTCGGGGCAACTGCTGGCATTGCACCAGTTCCACAACTTACATGAATCCCAGATGAAGGTGGCAGCTGTCTCTATGTGGTCAAGACGTCAAGAAATGAGGGACAAAATAGGCATGTGGCTAATTTGGTTTTAAGGCAGAAGGATTTCTTTGGTCATCCACTAGCCAGAATACTTCACTGATTCTTCCAAACACAAGAAAAAAAAGTGATGGCAACTTGACCTTACCATGGCCATGGCAATAATGCCGACTTGCAGGCACAGTGCCTTGTGTGCTGAGGGACCCCTGACCCTACTCATCAGGAGGATTTGGTGCATGTGACATGTTTGGGTACCTGCTTCCTGCTGAAATCATTATGAGAAGTCCAGACAGCTCTCTAGTTCTGAGCCCTCAGTCATGGCTGGATTGAGGCCATACCTCTTTCAGGACATCTGTGTGCTTGGACTTGGCATTCAGGATTTTCTGGAACTCTTCTGACTCCAGATAGGCCAGCTGCTCACACTGTTTCTTTTGGGCAGGCTCCAGTTCATCTATCTCTAGGGAGACAAAAAGGTTCAGTCTTACAGTGACCACGTTCAAAACAAGGTTGTGATCTCTAAGCATAATCACTGCAGGAGATTTTGGAAGCCTGAGGTCTCTCAGGCAGATGTTCGTGTCAAACAGCAGCCTTTCATAGTTCAGGAGAACATGAAGCCAAGGTCAAATATGGCTTTGGAAAAAATAAAAGCCTTTTTTTAAATAACATTGCACCTTCTCTCAAAGAAGAACTATGAATCGTCACATTACTCCCACGGGAGCAAGCAGTGTTGCCTCCCTGACCGATGGAGAAGCTTTAAAAGGGAATTAAGCAATTCATCCAAGAACACACAGTAAATCACCAGCAGACAAACTCAAGTTCCCACAGAAAATTCAAGAAATAGTTTCACCTGGGTCAATACCTGGTTTCCCCTGGTTAAGTCAGCCATGCACTGCAGATGCTCAAGTGCTGAAAGAAAGGGAACTGAGACCAGGACAGGGAGCTATCAGAGATTACATCTCATACTCTCTCCACAGGGTTAGAGATTGTTTAGCCTTTGCAACAAACCCTTTAAGTTCTAAACAGACCTAACTCGGCCTCTCTTTAGCACAGCAATGAAGTCCTTAACCCAGCAACTAGTGCTCCCTTCAGCAGGACATAAGCATATTTTTTCTGTTCTAGAAGCTAATATTATGTACCATTCTCTGCCTCCATACCTTGTGGCTCAGCAACATTTTTCTCGACTCTTTCAACAATTTCTAGGACATCATCATCAGCTCTTTTCCTCTTGACACTGTTCGGGTCGGTTTTAGCAAGAATCTGGCCTTTTGCTCGTAGTCGGTGTATCGCAGCCAGCTAGAAAATGGGAAAGAGCAGTGAATGTGTTGGTGACCAGTGTGGCTCCCATGTTCCTACTTCCAGAAGTAGCAGAGGAAGTCTGTCAAACAGAGGAGACAAGATCCACTGGCCTGAGCATGGAGCTGGCCAAAGAAGCCCAATGAAATTCCCAGCTCTGCTGTACATTTAATTCACCACATCACCCAACCTCTCATGACTTCCCAAACCATAAAATTACTCCTCCAGGCGTGTTATCAGGCTTGATATCTCTGCAGCTGTGCTTTAACTGTTTCACAAATCAGTAAGTTTTCCAGAGGAATCAAATCACTTGAGATTTCCACATAAATTGGTAATAATAGGGAATTAATAGAAAATTGCACACAACTATCCCTTTCTATACTCCCAGAATGCCAAGACTCTTTCTTCCTTGCTGGAAGTGAAAAGTTTCTTTGACAAACATATGAACAGATTTGTGCTAAGGAAAGATGCAGTCTGTTCTGGATAGAAACCAAAATTATCTAAACTCATGGCACAACATAGCTAAACTGGTTTAGTTTGCTGTTGCTTTCCTGGCAAACAGAACCCACAATACCCTGCACTAGCAGTGCCAAAGAACAAACATGCACAGTTTAGCACTCCAGAGTTTTTCAGCACAAATCCCTTGCCCCTTCCCAGAACTTCATTGTTTTCATGTTTGTAAAACAATAGCAACAGTCCTTGCTCTCCTTTCTTCTGTAAGAATCACTTCAGCACCTCCCATCCTGGTCCAGTACCTATCCACAAACTGATGCTTTAACATGTCCCAAACCCCAAAATACAGGAGCAAAAAGAGCTGCCGCTGGTGGACAGAGAAGCTCTGTCCCACCTGCATGAAGAATAGCACAAGGACAGCCACACCAAACTGCTCTCCAAAAGTAATTTGTCCAAGCAGTGACTAACTGTGTCAGGTCATGAAGAACAGTCAGTTCTACTCAGAGAAGCTGCCAGCAGGCATAAACAAGTGTTTCTTTGGAAAAAAGCTTAGCATCAGGTTCATGACTTAAATGAGGTGCCCTATCTCCCTATCGCCTTTTCCCTAGTCCCATCCCAGGAGGCTGCTCTGTCCCCTGTCCGTGCCCAACTGGCATTTGCTGAAATTGCCAGTGGTGTCATTGGCTTCAGGGATGCTTGCCTTCAGAGAAGATCAAGAGCAAGCTCATGAGCATCACACACATGAGATGGATCACAACAACTCACTTCTTGACCAATTCAGGGGATTTTGAACAAGCAATAGACACCAGCTCCGGTGGGCAAATGTCACACACACAGGCGCCTTTTTAGCAGCTGCTCCACTGCTCTGGGGGTTGACTACAGGCAGGATGGCAGCATGGACCTCGGTATCAACAGCTGTCAGGAACCGCAGGTTTCTTGTGTACTGTAACATAGGCCAGTCTCACCTCATAAATCAGAAACTTCGCTAACATCAGAACTGAGCCGGCCTATATCTGATCACAGACTCCTCTGCTACCACAAACTAAAGTTCCCTTAACGTCCCCTTCTTAAAAGATTCATAGAGCTGTTACCTTTTTGGCTTCTGCCAAGCTGTCTAGCTTTGGTGTTGGAGGTGGAGACCCATCAAAGAAGAGGATATCTTCTCCTTCTGAGAAGCCTGTGCCTAGCCTGGGCCTTTGAGGAGCTGACATTTTTGCAGCTTTGGGAATCTCTGCCCCAGGTACTGGGGAATGGAGCAAGGACTGTCTGGAGGAGGACGGCAAAGCAGGGCTGCTGGCTTTACTTGTGTTCTGGAGAAACCTTGTAAGACAAGAATAATCCATTGAAATAGAGACACAAGTCAAAGAGACAGAAAGGTTTAAGAAACAGATAGGAGTGGAAGGGATGCAGACTGACTTTTCACTAATTAGCCTTTTATGGCTAGAAAAACACGCAGCAATTCAGACATTCAGGAGAGAAAACAAGACAGGTAAGGAACTTGCTGGGTCACTGAAATCAAGAATGACTTGAAGAAGTCACCAGAAGGAGTCCAAAAAAAAAAAAACGAACCAGAGAGAAGCATCAAATGAAGCTGGGAGATGGGAGCTGAAAGCACAAAAATGGGCTTCTTTGCAGAACAAGTAGTTAGGCATTGGGACTCCTTGTCAGGCAGTCACATAAATGCTTATGTTTACACAGCTCATGGTGAAGAGGCTGGAAAGGTTCATGGGAAAAACCAACCAAACAAACAACCTTCAAAGATACTGTGACAGGTACCATCTCTAGCTTGGAAAGTCCCTGAAACACAGAGTGTTGTAGGCTGGAAGAATATCTGGGGGGATATATCATCATGATTCTTTGTGCCTAGTCTTATTATTCTCCCTCAGGTTCTGTTTTGGCTCCTGTTGAACCTTTTGAGGCTACATCAATCTCAGTCTTGCCCAGGGTGGCTCTTCTGAGGTTCTTAGGTTTGTTAACAAGATATGCACAAAACACTTGGCAAATCTGAAGGTTCAGAAGACCCTTGCAAGCCATCAGTGAACAGAACCAGGACTCCTGATCCCAGTTTCCTACTCTAATCAGCCTCTTCCCACCGCGCCTTCTAGTTGCTGGGCACTGTGTTGGAACATTTGGTTCTCGACTGAATACTGGGGTATTTCTCTTTAAATTAAGTTTTTATTAAAACAGCAGAACACCTCCCACAGTTAGGGCCACAATAACAGAACCCTTCCTGTGAAGGTCAGTGTGTATTACCGTCTCTGAATCTCTTCAGATCGCTTTTTTCGGGCCTCCAGAAATTTCTGTTTCTGTTGCTTGAGCAATGCTGAAGCTGACACAGACTGGAAACTGGACCCTTGCTTCTTTTCAGCATCTGGGAAAAAAAACAAACCAAACCAAAATAAAAACCCACTAACATTTGCTCAGAAGGAAGTTGAGTGTTTTCAGGAGTGGATTTTCCTCCAGGCAAAAGGACAATACCTGCTTTGGTCCAGTGTTTGCAGAGGTTTCGTGCTCCGAAAGTTGGCTGTGTCAGCAGTTCCTTGAATTCCTCAGAACATTGCATGGGTCTCTTTGCTGCACCTGGAGTGGAAGAGGAAGAAATACAACAGACTTGGAGCCAGAAAGGGAAGCAGGTCTGACTTTAGAGATGTAGTCTCAGTTGGAAGAAACCCCTGTGGGTCCCTGAGTGAGCACCCCCCCAAAGCAAGGCCAACTTCATGATATTTGGTTGCCTGAGGCCTTGTCCTCAGAGAGAGCACCACAAAAATATTTCTATCCCTTCAGCAATTTCATCAGTCAGTTCCCCACCAGCCTTGGCTGGCTGTGGTGCTCCCATAGTTCCTGTTTTTTAAAATGTTTGAAAGCCCTGAAGCCACCACATATTATCCCTGGAGAATTAAGAGCAGCTAAAAGCTAGGGACAGGACACACACTATGTTGTCTGAAATGGAAGCAACCGACAGAACTGAAAGATGTGATTAAGACATCTAAGTGGCATCTAGAGCACAGAGTTTGAATAACTGGTCATCTGCTCTCCACTGCACATAAAGAGAGTGCAATATTAAGTGCTTTACGAAAGCAAAATGGAGGCAGAGAAGAACAGCGATACCCCAAAGGCTGTGGAAGGAACATGCTTTGAAGATCACAAAAGAAAATCACTACAAACAGGCTGGGTACTCAAGAGGTCCCCTGAATTGCAGACCTGACTCTGATTAATACTTAGTATTCCTTAGAAGCTTTCAAGATTGACAGAAACCATTTATTTTAATCAAATAAAATAAATTCTCTGGTTCAAAGTTCTTAAAACTTCCAATTCCCATTAATCTGGCAAAGATCTTCTGTCATTGTCCGAAGACAGAACAGGAGACTTAATTCACGGGCACTGATGAAAAAGAAAGATGCATGGAGCTACACAGTTGCTTAGTTACATTTGCCTTGCAGCTGCAATCTCAAGAGGAAAGAGGAGTTTTGATCAATTGAGAATGCAGCCTGCAAACAGCTATTGCTGTAGCAAACCAATTGCCAGATTCATTCAGTGAGTAGCAGGGTGCTGGGACACATCTACACAACAACCTGGAAATATCTGGAGGGTGAAGAGACAACATGGGTAATTAGGTACCAATTTTCTGCCTGGTTTCCTGGACAATTGCATCAACTCCTCTCACGACCAGATTGGAGAGAGTGGTTTGAATCTTCCTTTTTGGCACTGCAGCTGCTGCACTAGAAAGAGGAAACAAAACCAGAACATCAGTTTTCTCATGCTTAGAGCAAGGACAGGAGCTCAAACACTAGCCCAGTGCTTCAACAAGACTCCAGCTACTCTAAAGGGTGCCTCTCTCCTATAATCTGTCTTTGAGAAGGACATGGATCTAAATCCAAATTCTAGCACAGTGTTTAGGATCTCCCAGCTGAGATATGTATTTCCTATGCATTGAGAGAAAACTAAACATAGGTAATGGCTAAGCTTTGCTCTCAGTTTCAGGGATGGAGAGGAGGCTGAAATTGCTTCATTACTGCGGAGTCATACCCATTATCAGAGGGTAGTGGTAAGGGAACAATAGCTGTGTGCAAGCACAGTGCTTGATCCAGCTGTGACTCAGGTCTTTCCACAGCTGTCCTCAGGGGGATTTGAAGGAAGGACCTGGCCCCTCCAATCTAGTTATAAGTTACATACTGATCTACTGATGTTGTTCATTTAATAATATGCAGGGTATACTACTGTCTCATTAACACATAGCGATACTGTATTATTTCAGTTAAGGAAGAGAGGTGGAGGAAGAAATACAGAATATACTGAGTCTAGGTTTAAATGCAATGAGCCATAACAAAATATAAGTGAAGGACACTGAAAAATACCTATCTTGGAGACTCAAATGCTTGGGATCTCATGACAAAGTTAACTTCATCTACTGAAACACAGTGCTGCCTGGCTTCACAACACAGTATTCATTTAAAGGTAAAAACACCCCTTACCACATCTTAGGGATGACTGTTACAATTTTCCTATCAAATAGCAGCTCTGTTATCCTGTGGGGCCAGGATTACACCAAATGTGGGGCATTTATTCCTATTTGGTGAATATAGTTACCTCAAAGGGATCTCTAACTAAATAGACCCCCTTAGAGATAGCTTCAGGCTCACCTGCATATGGAGGAAAATTCTTTGCAAAAGCAAGGGAAATAACTGGTTTGTCTTACACTGAGGCTGCATATGCTGCTGAAGAGACACCTCCGTAGTAAAACCCATCCTGACACAGTCTCTCCTTCAAACTGGGATTTTTCCGACCAACTTTTTTGGGAATGCGGCCACCAGAGAAGGTAGACTGCAGATCTGCCCGCTTTGAGCTGAGCTTCTTGTACTGGGATTGTATGTGATACTGACAATATTCACAGTCGTTCTGAAAAGAAATGGCAAAACTCTGTTGCAGAACACTAACAATTACAATTTACTTCATTCCTTTCACCCACATGCATCCTTCTATGGTTAAGCTGAAGTAACAACTCTACTGTAGTATTTCAGCATTTGACCAACTCAGCAAACATATGCCCACACTCCAGCAATGAAAAACAAAACTAAAATTACCCATACTAAGCACTGGAAAAAACCCTGTGTATCAAGGAATTTGAACTGTATCTTACTGGTATCAACATAAAGAAAAACTAACACAGGAGCAAGATAATTGATGCACTCATTTCAAATTAATTCATCAGTTTTCAGTGTCAATCTGAGGGAGTTTAGAACTGAAGATAGTGAGCCAGCCAGCCAGGGAGAGCAGTGCCATAAACATCCTCACTCAGGGTGTTTGACTTTTTACCAAAAAATAACCCCATTCTCATTGATATTCATCTGCCCCAGATGTAACTACAGTTACCCCACAAACATTTTTTTGTCACTAATTAAACAGACAGCCAATTCCTTCACGAGGTTCTTCTGACAGGTAGCCTCCATCTACAGGTTGTTCCAGGTGGCACTGAACACCTCACTGACATTGAGAGCCTTGTGCACAGCCACCCCTTGGAGTGGGTCTGCGTTTTGCTACAAGTACCTTCTGTATTTGCCTTCCTCTCACTCCACGCACTTTGAGCTCCTCTCCAGTTCTTCACCTGTTCATTTTCTCTCCCCCTTCTAAGTGTTACCCTACTAACTACAACCCTTCCACACTAGACAGGGTTCCTTTCGGGTATCATAACATCATCGTAGCCATGAGGTGACATAGTCCACAAGTCCCTTTAAACTAGTACAAGTCAGTACTGTCCCTGAAAGAATCCCAACAGCTTTCTCCTCTCATCTCCAGTGCCCCACATTCAGGTGTAAAATATTCTGGCAGCTTGCAGGCATGCTAGACCAGGGAACTCATTGGGTTAAAACAATCTCCAAAACCCATAACCATTCCCAAAAGAAACTTACTATTTTACCTTGTATGAGTTCTCTAGTGCAGCGCATGGAAGCCTGCACGAAGGAGTGAAAGGGTGGAGATGGAGAGACCATCTCTTTTCACTGCCAGCACCTGCTTTGCATTTAGGGAACTACCGTGCTGCTGCTGCAGTGCCATCACAGAAGCAGCTCCTCTAGGTTTCGTTTCTCAGGTTCTCCACCCACTTTAGTTAGTTACAAGTCAAGATCCAGAAACAACTCAAAGAGTCAGAGCATCAGCACAAAATCAGTAGCCGGATTTTTACCAACAGCTTAAGGATTTCCTAACTACTGAGATACAGACCAGGTTCACAATCTGTGCACAAGGATCACCGTTCTTCTTCCTGGCTTTGCAGGTGCCCATGTCCAGAGCTTCACCCATGAGGAGGATCTTCTGGGGATGGTCAATAGACAAGCACACCTAAAAAGAAATCAGAACATGCCATGAGGAAGACTGGATGGACTTCTCTCTAGATGTCACTGGTTTGGCTCTGATCCAGTTTGATACCTCTGGTATTAACAACAGAGTTTTAAAATGCAGGCCTAGTTTAAGAAAGCCACATGTCCTGTTCTGATTGAGAAAGAGCTCAGTTATAAAGAGTGAATTTCTTTCTCACAGAGAGATGAAAGATGTTGGATTTCTATGCTTAGAGACTCAGAAAACCAAGGACCAGCAAAGTCAGACCTAGCTGTGCTAGAAACAATGGTCCTGTACAACTGCTTGGCTCTGACACCATCATGGCAACCACATTTGGCAGTGGGTGGGAAGAAGAGATGTACTAGAGCTCTCTGTACGTTTCCATGTGTCCAATCAAAACTGACTCCTGTGCAAGAAGAATGTCTACTTCAGACAACCAGATATTAAGAATAGAGACACTCTGAGAAGTCAATTTTAATGTAGTTCTAGATGTGTACATTTTAGCTGAGAATAGCCGCTCTTCACAGTTAAACACAGCCCTTACATTACATCTGGTATGCCTTTCTACTCACCAACAGGACTTTCTACTACTTATTCATGCTAATTTAAGCAATTTTATAGCTTAATAGACAATTAATGAGATTCTTAATTTTTCCATTTGGAGAATTTAATATGCAACACACTACAACACCAGCTACTAGACTGCAATTTCTCTAGATAGAAGTCAGTAAAAATGGTTTACATTCCAGTGCAATTAAAAAGATATTTAAAAAATTTAATTTATTAGCAAAATGATCACCTTAAATGTTTTGATGGATACAGAAAAGTAATTCATCATGTTCTCCATTTATAAGTAATTGATTAAACAAGTGAACTACCGTGTATCAATTTACTGTACATAATACATCATTTGTTTAATAAATCAAATATTGCTTCTTCTCAGTCATGATTTTAGAACCAGGAACAATATTGCAATCACATCTCATGCTTAAATTAGAAGAGAGAAATGAGTTTCCTCACCTTTTTCAGCTTTGAGAGACCTCTAGGCTGAAATAAGCATTGCACCGAGTTAGCTGAATAAACTGAAATGAAAATACACTCCCTACATCTGTGGAAGAGCCAACTGCTACTGAAAGCAGATTAAACACTTTGAATAAACTCCGGTTTTATATGCTTAATAGAACTTCTTGAAGTTCAGTCTTCCAGGACAGGAGCAAGTACACACCATGCAAATATCTGAATGCAATTCAAACTGTTTAGGTGGTGGACTGCTGTAATTTCAGCCATAACATGTGTTATAAAGCTAAATCTCAAACAGATATGAAAAATTTCATCTATGTGCTTTTATCTACAGCTGATGGGCAAGTGAAAAGTCCTCTCACCTCATCTGAGCCTTCCTTAGGTTTCATAGGATTAGCATTGAGCAGCCCAATGACTGTGCCTTGGTCTGTCTTCCAGTGCTCTTTGTGAACATCACCAAACAAGAAGAGTGAGACACAGTGATTGAGATCCTGGAGGTCGTTCAGCCGCCAGATGCTGAAGGTTCTGCCCTGGAAGAGACATTTGCTTTCCTTTCAGCTCTCAGCACAGGGACACTGACTGCACCCCCTCTTGCTGTTGCTTCTGAAGAGTTATTCTGATTTCCTGGGTTTTCCCAATTTAGAAAAGCACAATTTGTAACCTCAGTAGAGGTTAGACACGGTATCTCCGGACATGCCACACAGCCAGCTGCAGGATTCTTAAAGGCCAAAATAGCACAATTATACTGGTACCACCAATATTCCTGATATTAAAACTGGACAGCACTCTTGCTTGCTGAACAAAGAGGTTTATACCCCACTGAACAAATAAAACCAAGACATATCCAGATCTCTGTTTCGTCAGTGACTTCCTGTAGGACATGTACACCATCTCGGACAGAATGAGCTCTAGGGATGTGATGGAAGCAGAATGTGTTGCCACATTTAAAACAAGAGGGCTGAATAGAAAGACTGAGTCACAGTCCTTTTTTTCACACTGGCATTTAACATATAGCAGTGAATGAACAGGTTTAAGACAGATTCATGCCATAGTTACATTAGCCAATGGTACTGTCTGGGACAGTTGCAGCAGATAAGCTGACTTACCCTGAGGACTAAAAGCAGCATTACTGTGTGAAACCAGATGAGCCAAGATCTTTAATACAGCAGCTTTTCATTAACTACATGGAGTTGGCTGATTAAGTTGAAGACCTAATTAGTTTCTCAGGAAAGAAGACCAGCATTTCATTTGAACTAAGCAAGGGATAGAACAAAGTTACTTACGTTATTTGCGCTCTGAGGAGTGATCTTCTTCACTATGACTCCAAATGTTACCCAGTCTATTTCCTCCAGATTTTCTGCAGCAAGTTTGTTCTTCAGCTGGGACAGTCGGATGAGCCTCCGGTTAGCCATTTTTCTGTCCATTTCAGCTGAAGACACCCGGGGTTTTCTAGACCAAGAGAAAGCATGTAAAAAAGAGAACACATCCGTTGGCATAAATGGATAGAGACAATCAAAACCATCCAGCACTCTCCTGGGGAGACTATATCTTGCTACAAAAGGCCTCTGTGCCCTACTTCACCCTGAGGTCACTTGAAACAAAACACTGTACACATATCAGAAAGCTACCAATCACGCTGGGTTTTGTCCCAATAGCTGCACTGCAACTTAGCCCCAAGCCTGCATTAACTCTGCTCATTTCAGGAACGATTGAGTATGACTGTCTGAGCAGGGTTTGGCAATCCAGCATGATTTCTGGTGAGGAAAGACACCGTGAGTATTCAGAGACCTCTTGTGGCCACATCGAGTATGGGGATCACGAGTGGCCTCCAAGGCTTCTCAGAATGGTGCAAACTCTGCTCAACTGGAGCACAGTTGGGCTTTGCACATGCCCACTGCTTTCCTCTCCATCACTGAGGACACCCCAGGGAAGGCAGTGCTAATAAAACGATAGCCTTTTTTGATAGAAAAGAAGAAAGGTGAAAATAAGCCAAAAGTCAACGTTACCTATTTACTGATCAACTAGCCAGTGCTGTGGCTTTGTGTTACATCCCCTAATGACAACTGACTAATCTGACATGGTTAAACAATGTACATACAGGAAATCACAAATGCAGTCCTTCGTGTACTACAGAACATTGGTCTGATTGTGTTTCCTCTCCCATTACTGGAGGGTGATGTTCCCAGACAGAGCTCAGTGCTGGGCTGCTGACCTTAATCTCAGTCCTGAGAAGGTTTCCACAGACACTGGCTGAGCTGCTGCACTGGAGCTTCCAGGCCTATGAGGAGTCTTCTCTCTGGTCACCTTACTGGGTGTGTTTCCTGTGGCAGACTTGAGAGGCTGGAATGCCAGACTGAGGACTTGCCGTGGTGGAGGAGTCTTGTTCTCTTTAGTGGAAAAAAAAGCAAGAAAAAAAATCTTGATAATGAAAGAAAACTTCTAAATAAAAATAACACTAACTTACACTTGACCAGAGACAGGAGTCTAATATAACACACTTAAGAAAAAGGTGTAAAACTGTCTTGTTTGTACTGAACTGGTCTCCCAGCCAGCTGGGAACTGAGACCTCCAGATGAGTCACGTGTAACTCAAGCAATGCTTTCTGCCTGCTGAGGAGCTTCCCAGCAGCTCTCACTTTTCAGGCAAGCTAACCTGTAGGATACACAGATTCAAGCCAGACTGCTGTCAGTGTCCAAGTTAACCACAGTAGTATACAGCATAGCACCCATTGCAAAGAATACAAGAATTAACTCTGTAATAAGCTCTGTTTCACTGCAACCAGACCACTACTGGTGCACTGATTAGTGTAAAACTATCCTGGATGTGTCTACACCGCTGCTGTGAACCAGATAGGCTTTCAGGAAAAGCCCAGTGTGTTTCAGTGAAAGGCAGGCTGAGCATGGTACCTGATGAGGATGCCTTTGATTTCTGGATTCCTCGCTTGGCTGGCGGTAAAGGATTGCCCAGCTGGGCCGAGAAACATGGTGATTCTTGCAGCTTCCAAACTTTCCTTTCCTTTAAGGGTGGAAAGGGAGATTTACCTGGCCAAGGAAACAAAAAAATACGGTATCTCAGGATGTAGAATCAAACACTAAGAATTGCTCCAAACTAAGTAATTCTCTGATTAACAAGTCCAAGTCAGAGTCCCACATGGAAAGCCTTCAACTAAGCTGTCAGCATCTGAAATGCAACAGCTGGAAAAGTCCCAAAGACTCTTCCCTATGATAACCTAAAACTCCAGATGTCACTGAAACCCCAAAGCTGTGGAAAGTAGGAACATCCCCTTGCTTTCCAATTTTCCCATGTAGCTTCATTACTACACCCAATGTCCTACAGCAACAAACACAGATGTATTTTCTGAGTATACCAACATCTGCCAGTAAGAAGGGACACTTCCAGATGACCCTGGAGCACTTCAGTCATGAAAGCTGCCTCATGCCGAGTCAATCTATGGTGCAGACACCAAAACTAAACTGTAGCTCAGTGATTTAGTCTGTAGCTGCAGGAAACAACCTGTGTGGGAATACACCAGGCTGCCATTCCTCCTTGCTACTCAATGCCCACTTTAGGATTATCTGGAGTCTGAGCTATAAATTGCACGTTGGTAGGCCAGCAAATCATAAACTCATATAATTAGTCTCATTACCAGGGGTTTCCTTCTCAGGTCCTGGACCGGATTGCTGCCCAATAGCAGCCTTCTGCAACTGCTCCTGTAATGTCTTCATCTGCTCTTGCAATTTTCTCAGCTCAGCTAGGAAAGAAAGGAGAAGAAAAAAGATAATAAGGAAGACAGCAGGAAGCCATAGCAAAGAGGGATTTATGAGATCCCTGGAGGTCTGGCAATTTGACTACACCATAGGGACTTAGAAAACAAAGACTAGAGCCACGATACAGATTTACTTGACTTTATATAGCTCATAGTGAAGGGGCACTTTTTCATACAATCTGAGCAGATTTCTCTCACACAAATATTTTACTTCACCGTGGTATGTTCCTTGCCACGTTGCATATATCTTTCCTATTGAACATAAGGCAATTTAAATGGCTGATGATTACACTCCTTACTATAGAGAAATGCTTCCAATATAATCAAATATGTGGCCTAGACACAGAAGGCTCAGTGGCCAGCTCTGCTTCCACACTGACTGGTATGGCAGAACTACCTGCTGGTAAGACCTGAGGGGGAAGGGAGGGCTGTGCTGGTGAAAGATGCCAGGGTAACAGCCCTGAAGATTGAAGCAACATTGCTCTTCATCAGACAAGATGCAGGTACATACAACCTTCTCTATCCTGCTCAGCAGAGCTAGTTTAGTTTCCCTGGTTTACTTCAGTCCTCTGTCTTTCTTTTGGGAAAATAGGTTTGGTGAATTTGGCCACTGAATGTTGAAAACTGGACTCAGAACTCTTCACAAGGACTTTCTGTATTTCCCCATCTGGGCACCATCCTGAACTGAGAAGCAGCAGGCCCCACCTTCTGCACATTAGTTCTCTAAAGACAAGATATATGTGATAAAACAGATAAAAGATGCTGTTACAGAAACCTTGCAGTTCTTGGTTGGTCTTCTCTTTTTCCTGACTGGGAGCTGAAGTGGGGACAGTTTTTTCTGCCTCTTCTTCTTCCAGCAGGTCATCCACATCTCCAAACAGTGTAGCCAGGTTCTCCTTCTCTTCATCAATCACACTGTCCTCAGCATCAACTTCTTCAGTGTAGGACGCATCATCTTCTGCATCGAAGAGCTCATCATATTCATCTGGTTCTCCCCCCTCCTCCTCTGGGTCATCTTCTTCCTCAGGAGAATTGCCCTCCTCAGTTGCCTCGCTTTCTTCCAGGAGGGAGGCCAACAGATCCAAGTCATCATCAGCTAAGACAAAAATTAAGCTCAGTGTTATTTCTTTCCAGTTAGAAGAAAGCTGCCATGGAGCAAAATATCGATGATAATCTAACCACAAGCTAATGAATTAAAAGTAAATCAGAACAGCAAATGGCATTCTTCAAAAACTACTTCAACTTTGTTCAGAGGAAGATAAAGCAGCTTCCTGACATCTGGTTGCAGACACTCTCAGTTTATGATCCAGGCTGGCTGGTCAACAGAAAATTTGCACACTCCTTAGTGCTGGCTTTTCCTCCTATGCAGCTGCTTGTACAATAGCTGCTGTTACAAAGAAAAGCCTTGTGACTCATAGAGGTGTAGTCGGGAGCTCTAAAGAGACATGTGGCTTTTGCCAGTAGAAGCTGAAGAGGAAGATGTGAGGCAGGCAAGAAAGTATATCCTCAGATATACTTTGCTTGAGGAAGAGAATAGAAAGCAAAGAAACACGGATCAAAGGGACAAATAATAGAAAAAACAACATCAAGTAGGGAGAGAGAGAGGAATGGGAAAGACAGAACAGAGCTGAAATTCAGAACAGAACAAGAAATTTACTTAGCCTTTGCTGCTGAAGAAGACAACACTAGGGAAGGGACAGAGCAGCCTCACAAAGGTAACAATAGTGAAGGCAAGGGGCAACCTCAAAGGCCTCCACAACAGAAGTCAGTGCAACTTAACTTCCTTTGCTAAAATGTTTACCAAGATGTCTGAACGCTTAAACTTATTAACTAATGTACTGTTCAGAAGATAACTTTCCTATTGAAAGTAAGAGTACTTTCCCCCTTACCGTCCATGACCTCACCAGGATTTCTTCAAGAGCCCCTCAAGGAAAAATATTCTCTGTTTTGGGGAGAAGAACAGTGATACTGTTAAAGTAGATACAGCTCAATTAGAACTATGTATTGCGTTCACGCTCTTTATTTGATGATTTGCAAACCACCAACTTGTTTTTGTTTACAGCTGCAGATGAGTACTCCACTAAATTTTTACTAAGTTTTACCCTCATGTACATTTTCTGCATCTAAAGTTTGACCTATGCTGAACTCACTGCAGCATAAACTCATTACTTTTAGGAAAAAGCCCGTAACAGACACAGATTTTAAGAAATGCCTACCATGTTCACTTAAGAATAACCATTTTCACCTCATCCATCCCGTGTTATAATCATAATTAGCATTAATTAAAGCAAATCTTCTGAAAATGGAAGGTAGCGGGGCTTTGCTCTCTCCTGACAACACAGTTCTTATTCTTAAAAGCACACGTTCTGCATTTCCCACAGCTCCTCCATTTCATGGACACATGTTCGTGAAAAGTAATCAGCACAGGCAGACATAAACGGCCAAGGGAAGACTGGATAACAAGAAGAGAAATCCACTGGAGATGGATTACTTGCAAACCCAAAGTCTAACTCAGTGCTTACATGTCTTCCTGCCGCAAAGACTTTTGTTTCACCCATAAACTCCACTTTTAAAAGTTCTCTCTTTTCTCTTGCTCCAGAATACTAATTTTCGGTAAAGAAACAAAACAAAACTGAAGAGCACGCATGAGCAGGGGTGGCTAGTGACCACCGCACAGCGCCGGGTTCCCGCTGGTGACACCAGCCCAGGGATCCACGCTGCTGCCGCCCGGCTCCTGCCGGGGCTCACCCCGGCGGCCTCGGCGGGTCACCCCAGGATCCACACCCACGCCGGGCTCCCAAGGACCGGCAGAGCTCGCCCGTGCCATGCCCGCCGCCTCCCCTCTCCCCACAGCACTCGTGGGATCCCCATCCCTGCTCCCCGTGGATCCCCAGGATCCACTTCCCCCCCTCAACAGGGGATCCTCCTTCACCCTCACGGCTCCCCTCTCCGCTCGGCCGCCGCCCCACCCAGAGGATCCCCGACCTCCTCCAGGGCTTCCCCGTGGATCTCTGATCCCTCATTCCACCCTCTACACCCGAGGATCGCTTTTTTTTTTTTTTTTTTTGGGGGGGGGGGGGGTACCCCTCCCCTCACACAGCCCCACTCACCGCCAGCCGCGCGCTGCCTTGCTCCCGCCAAAACTCCAACCCGGCTCCGCTCCCTACCGCGCATGCGCGGGCGCCGCGCCGGGGTACGCGCAGCGGCTGCGCGCACCCGCGCCATGGTTAGTCCTGGCAGCGGGGGGCGGCCGCCCGGCGCCATCTTGGTTGTGGGCAGGGCGGTGGGCTGGGTGTTTGGCCGAAAGAGGTGGGGGGGCGATGACGCCCTAGAGAAGACCCGCTGGGCTGAGTGAGGTCATGGGTGGGAGGGTGATGGCGTCATGCCGTTGTTATCCACCTTGGCGGAGCTCTGTACAGTGTCGCGGCCTGTGCTGTGGGTCAGCCAGGTGGTGTGGGATTTGTGTGGGTGAGTTTGCTTTGGCTGTAATTAACTGCCTGTCTGGTCAGATTGACCTCCAGGGGCAGTTACAGCAGGCAAAATGGTCACCAAATTACCTAAATTATCTCAGCACTTGTGTTAGCAAATTAAAACTCTGGTATTGTCCTGTGCAGTTGCCAGGATCTGTAGTCTGGGTCAGTATTTCTTTGGTATGAACAACTATGATTCCATGAAAAATAGTATTTCTGAATATGTGTGAGTTCGTTGCTCTAGTCCCTTCCTCCTTGTATCACCCCAGATAAATTATCCCCAAATCACCACCAAATTGCCCCAAAACCAGAAGGATTTGAACTCTGATCTCAAGGCTCTTGCATTAAGTCAATTCTGCAGCACGATATACAATGAAAGAGAGGATGTCTCTGGTGTTTAAAGGCTAGTAGTACCAGTACCGAAGTAGGAAAGATATAATTAAGGACAGAAATTCTATGGTAGCTGAAGGAATCAAGAAGTTCCAGCAGATGGCAGGAAAAAATTCAAAGAGAAAAATGATCTGCTGAATAATTGTCAACCAAGCTGTCCAGTGCCTGTCATGTTAGACTCGTGGGGTTTTTTTTCAGTTTTCTCTCCAAAACCACATGCCTAGCCCAGGCATGTTGGGCTAACTCATCCTGAATGCATCCGCCTGCGTGACACATGCAAAGGTGATTCAGGGGAATCGGAGCAATGAATAATGACAAGAGCTGGGGAGGAGCGTGTGGGCCCTGAGAGCCCAAGGGGGGTCCTCCATATTGCTGCTCATCTACAATGGAAATGGGAAAAAACTTGTGCTGTATTTTGGCGTGGGTGCAAATCCATGGGCAGGCATCAGGATGCTGTGTTTTTCATATTTTCTCTCCCTCTGGCTGCTAATTGCCGGTGTGACCCATGCTAATCACAGAGCATCACCAAGTCCCCCTACTCTCCATCTGACTGGAGTAGTGATGGCTTGCTTGCTCATGTGACTTGAAGTTTGGAAATCCAGAGATAGCTTGCTGCTTGCCACTAATCTCAAACCCACTCCACAGAACTGTTTTGGCCCTTTCCCAGTCTGGATTTTCAACCTGAAGTGGAATGAAATGCTTCTGGCTCCCATTCCATATCGAGTCAGGGTACTGATCACAAGGCACGCTGCTACACCAAGAATGTCTTTTGTTAAAAACAGACGTATGCAAACAAGTAGTACTTCATGGACATGTAGCATCTAGTCACTTTAAAACACAAATGCATTTTATCTTTAAGGGAAAACAAAGGGGATGTACTCTTAAACCTGTGCTAATGAGCATCTGCTGGCTGTGGCTTCCTGTCATGATAGCTCATCTGTCCTCTGGACTGCAGTTTATGATGAAAACAATAGAAAAATAATTCTTCCTGTTGCATGAGCAAGTTTCAGTGTATTGTGTGCCCATGTCTTCCTGTTAGTATTCCTGTGCTAAGATCCCCTCTCTTTCTGAAACCTCTTAAAATGATTAATTTTGACTTGACAGATGCATATGTAATTCCTCCGTTGGCCTTTCACATTGATTTTCTGTGTTTTCATTAAGGTTAATGCTCCTCAGATGAAATCAGCTCTATTATCATGCTATTAATTTGATTTTGGCCTAGTAATGTTTCCATCAGATTTTGATCGTTGCAGAATCCATAACTATCACAAAGGTTCTGTAATAAAATTGGATTCAGGGAAAAAAGTCCATAAATCCTACCATTGCAAAGAACCAATTAAAAGCCAATAAGAGATTCCATCTGCTGGGAGTACTTCTCATTGATGAAGAAGGTTGCAACTAAGCTGATGAATACCTCTTCACAACAAATTTCAGTCACCTCTTGCGTTACCTGAAATTATGGGTGAAGTTGTGTGAGAACATGAGCTATAGCTAACAGAAAAGAAGAATCCAGAGTCTACAAGAGATAATTAAAACAACAGTGACAACCAGCAAAATCAAAGCAACTCCTCACTTCAACTACAAGGACAAAATGGGATTGTTTCTCCTGGTATTGTTCGCTGAGAATTCACTGACAGGATGACATGAAAAATACACTGAAGGAAGATTTTCTTTGTCCCAGGAAACATCTACAGGTATTTTTCTTGTGTATATTTTAAGAATATTCATCTGCTGAGAGTGAAATATAAATCTTATTCTACTGAGGCCTTTTTTTCCTATTAATCAGCTCTAGACTAGTTTTTGTTTCATGTTTGAAGCAAAATATCAATAAAATGTTGAGTCACTGAACTTTTTATTTCTAATTCTGCTATTGATCTGTTCAGTATTTCCTCCTCTGTGATTTGGATCTTCGTCCACAGGACAATTTGGAGAAGAACTTATTTATGGAAGTAGGTTGACAGGAGAATTGGTCACGTACAAGTACAGAATATCTTCTAGAACTCTGCCCATTCAGTTGTGGTATCTAGCATCCCTAAGACTCCTACAGTTGTTCCATACTCCTTAGCTCATCATCACAAGATGACATAAGATATATACATATATTTTGCTGCATGAGCACCTCTCTCACAGGTTGTACCATCCTTTTAACGGTCAGAATTTCAGAGTACAGAAGCACGTTGATCAGCCACACGTGACCCAATCCTTACCTTCATTTAGAAGAAAAGCATTCCTGCCCCCGTACCTGAAAGGCTGTGCTGTTCTCCACTAGCTGTCACTGATGGACAGCAGTAGCGCTCGGGCTTTGCACCACAGCTTGACTTCTTTTCCTTGAGAATGGTCTGCATGACCTTGGCTGAAGCTGGGGGCCCAGTGGAATTTTCCGTGTACCCCATGATGCTAGAACAACCATCCCCAAAGCAGAACCCCTTTTCCAGGTGCATGAATATGTCCTTTCTCCTCACCAGTCAAAGCACTGACCTAGGATCTACTCAAAGACCCCATGAGCACAGTGGAGAGAGAACAAGCAATGACAAAAATGGATGCTTCTTTTAGCTAATCTCTCTTAAAATCAGAATCTAGTGTTTCTGGAAGTGAAACCCTTCCATGAAGTTAGTCAGCAATAGAGGCCAAGGACCAGTTGCTCTTGGTCATAGAACAGTCTTGTATTTTTTACGGACAGATGACACAGCTCTTAAGCCATAACGAGGAGGGTGAGCAAACGACTCCTTCACATACACAACATTCCAGTGAGGGTGTCAGATGTGTGAGGAGACGTGTTTGAACACAGGGTCTTACCTCCCTAGTGTAGTGCTTGTGGGGAAGGGACTATGCTTTTGTAGCTCAGCAGTGACAATTGCTTTCTCCATTTCTGGTGTAAGTGGAAACTGAGAAACCCCAGATTTTAGAACTAAAACCATTGCTACTTGTAGTCATATCATAATTTGTACTAGTATTTAAGACCTTTCAATATATATTCTGACTGAATTGTATTATGCAATTATCTGGATAACGGATACGGAAGTAGTTGTATTTTTCAAATGAAGAAAAGATGGTATTGATGGAGATCTGTTAAGTCCTGAACTCATCTTGCTCCACCCAGCCTCCTTTGTCCCTCACCCGATTTACTAAATCTAATGCTACTTCCCATAACTCCTGCAATGGGGCACAGTAAATACTGTCATCATAGCTGTTTTCTGTTCAGAAATTCCCACTTTGGAATTGTTGAGGCTCACCTAGTGAATAATTAATGCTGCAATGGTCTTTTACCCTGATTTAGTATGTTCCGAGTAGAATTCATGTCCTTTTTATTAAATAAACTTTTTAACCATTTTATTAGACTAATGCTGAAAAGCTAGTATTTTGATTGGACTGCGAAGTAGTAGCAGTTTGTGATGACTGTTGCGCTATCCCATTGAAGCTGGGTACATGAAGGAAATCAATCACTTCTACTCACACTAGTTCTGGAGGAAGCTTGTGGTCCACAGAGTCCCTCAGAGGGATTTTAGGTGACTGTCTCTACAAAAGACATTTCCCGCACCTTTTCCCTTCTGCTTGTTTCTTTCTGCATTAGGAATAAGTAATTACCTAAAATCCTGACACAAATTCCTGCCTGCTTGCCTTTATTCTGAACAACTTTTTAACTGAAGAGTCCCTCAGATAAGCACACCCCATGGTTAGATTAAGGTTTGGGGATCAGAGCACCCAGTCTTTTGTTAAAGCCAGTACAGTAGTACAAGCAAAAACTAATTACAATTGCATTTTGTTATAGTTTTGCCCTTTACATAAACCTACTCTAGTACAGATGCTTTAGTTATAAATGCAGTTTCTCCTGCACTTTATCTACAGATCACACTGCCTATATAAGAAAGAGGATTCAGGCTTCCCAACTCTGGCAGCCCAACACCTCTGAGACCACTGCACCATAATATCAAATCAGGAAACATTCAGGCTTATTATAATGTCAACTTTGAAGTGGAAGGGTGAGCCAAGAAATAATAAAGTGATATTAAAAATATAATGTTCAACTTCCATATTCAGAGTGTGTGATCATTGCATTCTGCTCCTTCTGAACACACAGCTCACAATTCTGGAAATCAGAATGAAGTGGACTGTGCACAAACAAATGCTGCTGGTGGCCCTCAGCCTAATGGGCCCACCACAGAACAAGATGGCAGAGATTTAACTTCTGCATTGTAACGAGTCCTGGCATATTTGCTTCCAGAAATTCAGTTTTAAACAGAGGAAGGAAAAAAAATAAATCTTTCCCTGCACCAAGGATGGTAGATCAATCCAAAAGCACTTGGAGGCTTCTTTACGACTGGGCAGTGCCAAAGTCACCAACACT